TAATATCTAGAATTATAAATCAACATAATAAATTATAAGAAACCATAATAATATTATATATCCAAATCAAATAATCAAATAATCAAGCAATCCTTACATTGCGTTACATTTCATGCGGCCTCTGAGATCCCCCAACGGAGATCATTGTAAATTATTCTAAATTATTCTAAGGTTAATGCAAAATCCTGATTTCCATGCAATTTCATTTGGTCGGTAGTATGGCTGCTTTAGCCGAGTGGGCCCTGTTAAAGCATTTTCTACTATCGATATATTTCGATCAAAATCCTACCCAACAATGCCTGTTTCACAAGGTTCAATCCAACTCCTTTTAAAAATAAAGAATACAATTCAATTGAAAACGATATATGCCCAATAATTTCCTACAACTAGTCAAAATCTAGTTGTCTCCTCGAATGTAGGGCGGTAGCCAAAAAAAGTAATGATCGATCTTGCATATAATTAAGATATATAATTAAAATACTTTTTGTAAAAAACATGTATAATCTCTTGTAAATGGAAAAAGGTTATCAATACGATTCCTATTACGAAAATAAACAATTTTTTTATAGAAAAAAACAACATTAAAAAGTAATATCCTTTATTGACACAAAAATTACACACACAAAATAGACATCATGCTTAATGCAATGCCCCCAAGTAGATCCCTTTAATGATAAAGATCTTCTCGGCATTGAATGTCCCCACAACGGATGCCTTCTATAAAAAACAAATTCTTAACATTAAAATTAATACCTTTTGTGCTCAAATAACATAATTCCAAGCATCGATGTTTTTGGAAACGAGTTCAACATTTACTACAAACATAGTTAGTACAAATACAAACAATGCCGTTAGCCCCGTGTCATGTGGTTTTAAATGGTTTTAACATTCCATAACTGCGGAGGCAAACCCTGCATTCCAGAAATTGTTGTCCCTTTGGTAGACGTACCAGAATGATGTTAATACGGGTATATACTTCAATTCAAAAAGAAGGAAAGCATAAAAAAGCTCTGTTTCAAACATACCCGTTTGTCTCCGCTAGCTAGCAACGCTACCCCGTAATGCTACCCATTGTTTGCATACCCTTCATTTGGATATCTTTACCGACACATGGTTTGTAAATTATATTAATTCCAAATTTAAAATAATGGCACCAAACAGTCAAGCCTTAAAAAGTGTACGTATCAAAAATTGAAAAAATGTGCCATTCAACTCGTTCTGTCATCCGGCTTTGATTACATGGAAATGGAACAAGATTATCTATGGGTGTGACTGTCAATCCGTGGTTTTTTTTGGGCCCACGGTGCGGTGAGATAGCGCATTTTGTTTTGATTTTCAAAAGCTCAACACGCGCTGATTTGGGCGATGGCCGTCCTGCCAGCGCCACATGCAATACCACAACTGGTGCTCGGCCAATCACCTCTACATGCATCGCTCAGTTTGACCAGCCTTTAGAGAAGTTCTCGTATTCCGCACTGTTGAGTTCTCTCCGCTCTCTCTCTCTCTCTCTCTATATGGTCAATGTCTTGCATGCCCCTTTTCCGTCCCAGAACCAAAGCAACGGAGCTGGCCATAACAATAGCGAAATGGACCACTGGCACGGGAATTCACCTCCATGACAACGTAGTCAGCCATTTGCGACTGCACCTGGCCGGCAAAAACCTTGCATTGTTAGTTTTGATACTTGTTATATGTATATATATATATTATTTGTATTTACTTGTTATATATGTCTTGTTGCTATGCGAGCAGGGCCCAAGGCGAGCGGCAGAAACTTACGATATGAACATGTGTTCCTACAGGACTGCAAGAGAGAATCTGCGTACAGAAGATCGGCTGACGCTGCAAAGCAAACACACACACAGACACACTCAGTGCCGTGACAATATATCATAAATTATCACAAGGTCTTTTCCAAAACATGTGTTGAGTCATTGGATCTCTGGCCCATGTACTTTCAGTCGCCAACACAGATTAACTTGACGTCTCCTTGTCTTGACATCACTTCTTCTTGGCATCTCTTTTTCTTGACCTGTCCTTCTGTTGACGGTTCTTTCTCTAGAAATCTCCTTCTTTTGGCATTTCTTTCTTGAAGGCAAACAGATGCAAAAAGCCACCGTGCCGCAACAATTCGCCTTGCCAAGCAACAGCTCAGCTGCATTGCAAAACACCAGAACGCACAACAACACACATTATATATATATATTATATATATATATTATATATTATATATATATATGTGTGTGTGTGTGACCTTGACACAGCAATCCCCTGCGCAAAGACGGCCGGACTGGGAACTCAAAGCACCAACGCCAACGCACCCGCACATACGGTAGCTATCCTGTTTCATCCCAAAATTGAAAAACGGATAGGTCATATCAGGTCTGTCAAAGGGAGGTCTTATGGCATCTGGCTGTCATTGTTGGCACGGAACTGCCAGGGTCACACCAATTTTCCTCTGTGTGTAAAGCCAGAACTCCTGGAAAATCAAAGCAAAGACAGGTAGAAACTTATATATTTATATCTCTTTTCAGATCTTTTCAGGTGTTTCACGCAGTTCCAATCAATGCCCGCGCAGTCCCCAACTTCAGCGCACGATTGCGCGAAAATTCAAATCCTTCATTGATGCCACAGTTGTATAGCGAACAGGAATAAAGATATCACCAAAATACATCACCGGCGGACAGAGGCAACTCAGAGCAGTTCCATTGCATACCAGGAGCTGCAAAACCCACCAACAGACAAAGGAATTGTAAATGCACTTTGCCGCAACAGTTCCATGGAAGATAAGCCGTGGATGTCTACAACCGCAGTATGGCGGACCCTACCTTTCACCAATCACCAACGCACGCTTACGCGACAAACACAATGTTTAGTGCAGCTTCTTCCTCTTAAATCTCATCTTCAGGCAACAGTTCCACCGCACAATCAAATATCGCAAAGCATCATATATGTATATGTATACATATATATATATATATACATAATATGATATTATATATATAATATATATATATATATTACATATATTACATATATTACATATATTACTGCATCTGCCCCGCTTGGTCAGGCCACTACTCTTCACGGCTGCTGCCGTGGCTCAAGATGGGGACCAGCCCAATGGCATAGCGCTGAGGTGAAAACCGGGGTGATCCGTCAGGGTTCAGCTGTCACGCAGTGGCAGCGGAGCCTAGGCGACGATCCAAGGGGCGTGTTTCGCTTAGCGAGCCATGGAGGCAGCGGTGCCTGTGCCTGAAGGTTCTTCCGAAGAACCACAACCAGCAGAACCACCAGAAGGGACACCGAGGGCAGCGTCTGAGGGGTCTAGTGGAAACCCTTGGGCACGTTCTGACCCTTGGTCAGAAGGACGGCGGCGTGGAGCAGAAGTACGTGCTCCTGCCCTTGAACAAGAGTTTCTGCAGTTCCTCCAGTGGCGACAGACCAATCAGACCTATGGCATGGGTCCAGCTCATGGACAATATGGAGGTGCCAACCAAGGTCTATGGCAAGCTGCGAGGGATGAGCAGGAAAGGACAACAGCAGGTCCTCCACCAGAATGGGATGGACTGAGCACGGAGTTCAAGGACTACAAGATCAAGGCTCGAATTTGGCTGAGGACAACGCGCACTCCTCCACATGCCCGAGGTCCTCTCTTGCTGAAGAATCTCACTAAGGGCCCCTGGGAGGACTTGAAGTACCTGGCCAATGATGAGTCATGGATGACTGACCCTGAGAATGGCACCAAGCTGATCAACCTCATGGACTCCCGAGAGTTCTATGGTGAAGAAAAGCGAGAATCGATGCTTGCAGCATGTGCTCGCCTTACCTACCACTTGAAGCGGCAGAAGGGCGAGACGGCCCGGGCTTTCATGACAAGATGGGATTCCGCTGAAAGGAAGATCCGTGAGCATGACGTGAAGCTCCCTCAGGAGTACTTAGGCTTCTTGATGGTGAATGCCCTCCAGCTGGACTCCGAGAAGACCAAACTTCTCCTGAACTATACCAAGGGATCCTTGCAGGTCTCTGATGTTAAGGATTGGCTGCGGATCCATGAGACTGACTTGGACATGGGCAACTTGGGTAATGACCGAAAGAAGTCATCGGTGAACTTCCTCACTGACAATGACGAGGCCAAGGAGGTTCAGCTCATGGACATTCCTGAGGAGAACGAGGTTGATGACGAAGAGGCGGCGGAACTTCTTCTGACCACCATGGCAGACCTGGAAGAGCCCAATGAGAACTCTGACGAGATGGTCACCCTCACTGAGTCTGAGACCAAAGAGATCTTGATGACTATGGTCAAGGACTCGAGAAACAAAGGCCGAAGTTTTGCAGGTGCCTTGAAGGCCAAAAAGAACCGAGATCTAGCTCGTGGCTATGGTGCTGGGAGAGATGGAATCATGAAGCCTGGCACCTATGAGGTTTCGATCTCTGAGCTGAAGAAACGCACCAAGTGCAACTCTTGCGGAGTTGTAGGGCACTGGGCCCGTGAGTGCCCGTCCAAATCTCGGAGGAGCTCTGACACCCATGGTAAGAACGAGCACTTCAAGGCCAAGTTGAAGGAGGTGAACTTCCTGTCTCAAGAGATGCCAAGTTTTGCTGAAAGCGAATTTTTCTATTTAGAATCTGGAGCGTCCAATGGCAGCAATGGTCCTGCCTCTGACAGCATGGATCTGTCTCGTGCCTCTCGAGAGTACATTGTGCGGCCTGCAGCTTTTTCATGTTTTCATCTTGCAACAAATTTGGATGACAATGGTTGTGCTACTATTGATACTGGATGTCAAAGAATGGCTATTGGAATCAATACATTGATGAAGCTTCAAGAATCACAACCATCATCACTACCAATTTCATTCTGCAATGAAACTCATCAATTTCGAAGTGTCCACAAGGTATCATGTACCACCAGGTTGGCTTGTATACCATGTAGTTTGGGGCCGCGTGGATGCATTTTGCGACCGGCATTGTTTGAAGATGACAACAGCTCTGACGCTCCATTCTTATTGTCACTACCATTTCTTCTCCATTGCCAAGCCACACTTCATTTGGATGACTCACAAGGTTTGATGCTTCTTTCAAAACGGTTTGGTTTCAAGGTTCAATGTTTTTTGGGTCCAACTGGAGCTCTACGTATTCCAATTCAACAATTGACAGATTCAATGGTGCAATTTTTGGAACAACAATGTTCAAGGAGTCGAGATGAATATGAACTCATGCAGACCACGACGGTGAAGTCTCCGACACCTTCGACTTTTGGCTCAACCCAGCGGCTCAAACCAGTGACGCTAGAGAACAAGTCTCCAGACCTTGGAGCAGCCCAACGATCTGACCGTGATCATGCATGGGCCTCGCTCCAAACGTGTGAGGAGCGATGGAAGCGAGAGCCGGAGTGTCCTCCAGGCTTGGGTCCGCTTGACCTTGCGGGCACTGATGATCATCAGCAATGCGGTGCAGCATCGAGTTCAGCACCAACTCCGCATCCCTGGGCCGCGGGGAGTGCTAGCCCGGCAGATTGTGGAGATGGGCGAGCTACTCGAAACAATCCAGCTCGACAAGGTGGTCAACCAGCTCAGTCAAGCACTTCAAGAACGTTCCTTGAGGGAAGTGGAATCCAGATCCCTGACACCGAGCGAGTGGTCTCGGGTGACATCAGCTCGAGCACCAGCTCAAAGGGGAGCCTCCTCCAGTCGAGCAGCACCACTGACTCCCAGATCAATGCCTGCGACACCGGTGGAAGTTCCTCCATCGCCGGGATGTCGTCGTCCAGCCAGCTCGGCGGAGATTCCGGCCGAGATGAATGTCAACAGCGAGACACCGCAGTGCCATTGCAACCACGATGCAGCCTTATGGATTTCCAAGACCGAGAAGAATGCCGACCGTCTCTTTTGGCGATGCGGCCGGGAGAGGAGCCAACAATGCAGCTTCTTCCAATGGCTGACATACCAGCCACTTCGCCCAGATCTGCAGAGCAATTCGAACATGGAGTATTTCATCAAGAAGCAACAAGATCTTTGCCCTCACAAACGAACCACGAAGGAGGGATCCAACGGCCTGCAGAGCAAGGTGAAGTGCAAGGACTGTGGAAAGCTGCTTCGGGACGAGCTCACAGAAGCTGGCCGGAAACTCCAGCAAACTCGAGCGGCCAAGCAAGAGGCAACATCGTGGAGCTCAATGGAAAGTCAATCCAAGATGGAGCGGGACAACAAGGACTTCCAAGAGTTCTTGCTGTGGCGCAAGTCTCAGCGTCAGATGGAGGAGACCTCCCAGAACCAAGCGGCCGATCGCAATCGCCGCAGCAGCCTCTTCATGTGAGTGGATCTGAGGTGAAACCAATCAAGCCGGGGTTGCGGCGACATATTTTTGGTTGTTTGAAGCGAGCTGAAACTTCTTGGTTGGAACTTCATCGATTGATTTGTGAAACTCCCGACAATCACCTTGACAAAACTTGTCAACTGATTCGTGAGTCGCTTCAATTGCAACAACCACATATGAAACATTTGACAGACCTGTATTTACTGCAGCCAAAACAATTGAAGACAGTTGCGGAAGTTTGCAATCCAGGACGATTTGGTTCACACACAGATCATTTTGGTCTTCGAGCCGGCCAAGCCTTTGATTTAGAACTGGGTTGGAATTTGCTTTCTAAAAAGACTCAAGAACATGTTCTGAATTACATCAAAACTGAAAGACCTGGTTTGACTGTTATTTCTCCACCTTGTGTGAAATTCAGCATGCTTCTCAATTTATCATGGCCAAAGTGGTGTGGCGATCCTCAAAAATTTGACAAACATATTCGAGAGCTTCGTGCGGCCAAGCAACTGTTACGATTTTGTGCAAAGGTATGTCAACTCTGCAGATCACTGGGCTTGAGTTTTCTTTTTGAACACCCCTGGTCAGCAAGTTCTTGGAATGAATCATGTTTACAACAACTTATTTCTCAAGAGGATTGTTACATGGCACGGGGAGATCAATGTATGTTTGGTTTGGTTACAACTCATGATGAACCAATGCGGAAAAGATCTGGTTTTCTCACCAACAATTTCGACATTGCCCAAACTCTGAACAAAACGTGTGACTTTTCTCACTCACACCAACACGTCATGGGCCGTGATCGTGGTGCGTCCATCAATCGATCCCGGATGGCGCAGAAGTATCCAGTGAAGTTGATCATGGCCATTTTGGCGGCGTTTGCAAATTCGATTGGCCTACCACATGACTTGCTCTATGTCATTGATGGCCAGAGGACCATTGAAGCTGAGGAGCAATTTGAACTCAACTTGGTCCTATGCGGAGAACTTGCTGAAAACCAAGCTCTACTCCCTCTTCAGAACACGATCAGCCAGCCTGGTCCTGCAGGAGAACCTCTTGATCAAGATTGTGGAGGTCTTGGAAAATGTGCTGACCGACCTCCAGAGCCAGAATCCCTACATGATCTCTTGGCTGTGCATGAAGCCGAAGATCCGGAGCCACCGGATTCGGTAGCTGCTGTGGAGAGGGAGAATTTTCCAGGTAGCCATCCACTTTCACTTGAGGCACTTGTCAAGAGAGCGCATGATGGATTAGGACACCCTGGACGAGATCGCTTTCTCAGGATCTTGAAGAACAGCAAGGCCAGCGACCGAGTTCTGAACATTGCACGAAACATGAAATGCTCAGTTTGTGAGAAGTTTCAACTACCTAGACCATCACGTGCTGGGGCTCCACCCAAAGAGATTGGACTCAATGAAGTAGTTGGTATCGATACTTTTCAAGTCCGTGTGCCATTTTCCAACAAGACCAAGTACTGTCTCAACATTGTTGATTACAGCAGTCACTTTCAACTGGTGGTACCACTGGCTGGACACTCGGCACACGAGACCCGAGTAGGATACCGATTGTGGTTGAAAATCTTTGGTCCACCTCGCAAACTTTTGTGCGACCTGGGGCGTGAGTTTCAGAAAGAGTTCGAAAATTTGGCTGAAGCTGATGGCACTGAGCTTCTGCCTTCTTCTCTTGAGATGCCAGAACAACGTGGTTTTGTTGAACGGCAAGGACAGCTCTATAAAGACATGTTCTACAAGACCATGGAGCAGCTGACTTGCCGAGACTGGCCTACTTGGTACCAGATCATCGACTTGGTCTGCTTTACCAAGAACCGACTCCTTTCCAGAGGTGGTTTTTCTCCAGCGCAACGAGTGTTTGGCTACCAGCAGCGCATTCCTGGTGGTTTGATGTCAGATGGTGGAAACGACCTTGCGGTTCAGAGCTTAGCAGCCGCTGGGGATGTCAATGTAGCCAAAGCCATGAACATCCGCAAGGCAGCTTCCATTGCTTTTCATGAAGTTGATTGCCAACAAGCCCTTCGAGCAGCTGCCACTCACGGTCCTAGACCGCACTACTCGTATGAGACTGGGCAGGCAGTCTACTTTTGGCGACGGGCAACTGATGCTGCCCGAAAACCAGCCACTTATTTTTGGCATGGTCCAGCAAGGGTGGTGGCTACGCAGCTCCCATCTACGATTTGGCTCTCTTACAATCACCACCTTGTCAAGGCCGCTCCAGAAAAGATTCGACCTGCTTCAGAAGAAGAATTTTTCTCACTGTCTGGATGGCTAGATGGAATTTCGAATGCCAAGAAACAGTTTGAGACTGAACAGATCAAGGGTGTGATTGATCTTTCCAAAGAGGATGATGGAGTACCACCACCTGTAGAAGAACAAGATTACTGGCGACAAGATGGAGACTTTTGGATCCGCGTTCACCTCCAAGAACGCCGAGAACTCTATCAACCGGATGATGATGATCCAAATCTTCCATTTTTCACTCCACAACTCAAACCATGGCGAAAGTCGAAGATGCTTTTAGCTGGTGGTAATGAGGAGATCTTGGAGGACAACTGGACCTACCAAGCCAACATCCCTCTCCACGGTGAGACTTGGACAGGTGAGACATGGTTTGAAATGGGAGATGGAAGTCAGCCACCAACACAGATCGCCAAGCGAAATCTACAACCTGATCCCTTGCCTCGCCGACTGCGCCAAAAGACCAGTCAGCCTGAAGCAGTAGCCACTCAAGCCTCCCCAGATGTTCTTCCTGCGGAACAGCATCCAGCTGTGGATACCCCTGATGACCAAAGGTCAGAGTTTTCCATGGCACCAGAATCACCAATCCGCACACCAGATAGACTTTCTGAACCTGGAGAAGAAGCACCTGAGTGTCTTGAAAACACCAAACCTGAAGATGTTCCAGTACCACCTTCTGAAGATGGTGATCGAAAACGTGACCATGAAATGGTTAGCCAGAGTCCCTCTGACTGGGAGCCCCTACCAGTCAGCAAACGCAGTAGACTGGAGCTTCTTGAAGTCTACTACCAGGAGATGGCCAACAAGTCAGCACAGCGGCAAAAGAAAGGAAAAGAAGCAACATTTCGTGAATTTTCTGGCAAGGATGCTGAAAGACTTTCCAGAGCCATCCACAAAGAGTTCAACAACAACCTGGCTACTGGAGCCTATGAACTGTTGGACGCTGAGACATCCAGTTTGATCCGAAGAACGGCGCCAGAGAAAATTATGAAATCCAGATATGTGCTGACCAAGAAACCCATCGAAGATTTTGCCGTTGAAGACGCGCTTTCTGCTGATGAGGTTCTTGATTCATCACCACCAGGGCAACCATGTAAAGCCAAATGCCGCCATGTGATGCAGGGATATTCAGAATCAGCACTTTTGGACTTGGAAACGAGTACTCCACAAGTACATCGAGATTCTGTCATTTTTGCTGCGCAATTGATGGCGAGCATGGGGTGGGTGCCTGGTTTTGCAGATTTCACACAAGCCTTTCACTCTGGCGATCCCATTGATCGTGAACTCTATGCTGAACAACCGGCTGAAGGTCTTCCAGGTGCTAACCGTGGTCAACTGGTCAAGTTACTCAAAACATGCTATGGCCTAACTGATGGTCCTTACCAATGGTTCAAACACATTGTTCATTTCCTGTGTGATGAGCTACAATATCGACAATCAGTAGTTGATCCATGCTTGTTCTTTTTGGACTCCAGTCCGGATGCTGAGGGAAAGATTTATGTGGAAGGAGTGATTGCATTAGCGACCGATGACCTTTTTCATGGTGGCTCAGAACGACATCTTGCCAAGATGGAGATCATTCGCAGCCGTTACAAGCTGGGACAATTTACATGGCGATCAGGTAGATTTGTTGGAAAGGAAGTTACCCTTTTGGAAGATGGCTCTATTCAATTGGATCAGCAATTTTATACAGAATCACGAGTCCAACCTATTACCATTCCACGTGATCGCAAGCGTAGAAAGTTTTCAGTTTGTAACCCAGAAGAAGTTGACCAACTACGTGCATTGATTGGAGTTTTATCTTGGTTGTCTAAGGAGACCAGATGTGACCTTGCTGGAAAAACTGCCCTATTGCAACAAGCGTTTCCAAAACCTTTGATCAGAGATTTGATTGCCGCCAACCGGTTAGCCAAGGAAGCTTTAGACCACAAAGCATTAGGAATTCGTGTCATGCCTATTCCCTTAGATCGTCTTCGCGCAGGTGTGGTCACTGATGCCTCCTGGGGCAATTCCAAGGAGTTCGGTACCTTTTTGGAACAGGACTCCAATGATTGGTGGGAAGAGACCCCTGATCGATGGATTCGCCACCATGTTTCTGGCCGCCGTACGGCTTTTCATCCAGCAGCATGTCCTGATGGACCAGATTTACATGATCTGCAAGCCCAACGACTTACCGAGATCACTGTAAACGGTCGAACCTCCAACATTCATGATTCATGGACTTTGAGTGATAGCTTACGTAGTTTAGCTTCACAGTCATGGACAGGGTCTACGACATTCTACAAGCAGAAAAAGGGCGAGGTTCTTGACTCCAAAGAAATTCATGCCGGCTACGAGCAACTGAACAAGCTCTATAGCCAGGGTGGTGAGATTGTCATTTTCTATGACCAAGAGTTGCCAGAATCACAGAGTCTTCAGAATGTTTCGGTCGCTTCATGGAAGAGCTATCGATTGAAGCGACAGACTGTCAACACGCTGAGCTCTGAGACACAAGCTCTGGTCCGAGGTCTTGGATCTGTTCATTGGTATCGCATTTTGATTTTGGAAGCCAGAGGACTGCAACTTTCAGCCCGAGAATGGCATCGAGAAGTAGCCCGACTTCCATTCATTTGCATTACTGATTCAAAATCACTGTACGATGCGGTGAGCAAGTACACCAATCCTGCATCTCAATGTGGTGACAAGAGAACATCAATTGACATTTCACTCATCAAGCAAGAAGTGAATGAGCTCAACGGAAAAATCCGCTGGGTAGATGGTAGAACCATGATCACCGACCCCTTGACCAAGGAAGCTCGCTCAGACCTTCTTCGTCATGTGATGCGCACAGGCCAATGGTCGATTCTTGAAGAAGGATCGGCATTGCAACGAAAGCTTTTAGAACGAACATCTCGACATGAGGTGCTTTTCATTATTTAGGCCTGACCAAAAGAAAGTTTGGCCGGTGCAAAGACTGCATCTGCCCCGCTTGGTCAGGCCACTACTCTTCACGGCTGCTGCCGTGGCTCAAGATGGGGACCAGCCCAATGGCATAGCGCTGAGGTGAAAACCGGGGTGATCCGTCAGGGTTCAGCTGTCACGCAATTACATATATATTATATATATATTATATATATTATATATTATATATATTATATATTATATATTATATATATATATTATATATATATTATATATTATATATATTATATATATTATATATATTATATATATTATATAATATATAATATATTACATATATTATATAATATATAATATATCATAATATAATATATTATAATATACCATAATTATCATATAGCACCAGCGCTTGGACAGAACATAGAATTATCTTGCCTTGCTGCAGCCGTGCCACTAAACACGAGCAGTCGCTATACTATAGCAGCAACGCGCAATGGCAAACTAAACTCACTTAGCCAGCAGTTCCAATGAAGAAAAGAGCCATACACATGCAAAGCACGACAGTATGAAAGTGCCATGCATGCACTGTCCGCAACCGCCAAACCCTACATGCAACCAACCACCAAAACACCCTTATCGCAAAAACACATCATTTCACGCAATGGTTTCCTCGCAAACCTTCCCTTGATGCAACAGCACCCAGAATGTGCAAGTGCCACGGCCGGACAGAGCTTACCTAGAGGAAGCGCGGCTGACCGAATGTCAGGTTAAAAGGATGTGAGGTTAACAGGGTGTGACAATGAGCGCGCGCATAGAAGAAAGCTGAACTGGGAAAAACATGAAAAAACAACCGGAACCAATTTGCGCACTTCCGGATCTTACGGATCTTCCGGCAAAGAATTCACAGAAGGTTGAAAGATGTTGAAAGGTTCAAATGCGCTCGGAGAACATTGGATACAGCCTCCAGCATCACCTCCTCACGGAGCACTCTGCGTACTGAGCTGGCGAGATGCCTGCAAAGCACACTGCGATCTGCAAAGTTTGTGACTCAACGCTTACCAGTGTGCTATATTGTGCTATTGTGTGCTCACTGCGTGATAGAATCTAAACATCACCGCACTGGCAACTGCAAACAAACATGTCTTCAAATCCAACATGATAGAGCATCATAGAACCTTAGTGTAGTCAAGTCCGTTATCCATTCTTATCCTGCATCCTTACCATCCTTTCATTGCTCGAGCCTCTTGTAGAAAAAGAAAGCGCCAATCAGGACTGACACCTGGACAGTTCAGGGACTTAGCATTTCGGAGAACATGTAGCGGGATTCCTGCTAAGTTGACTGCAATCGAGCAAAGCAAGTCCATTCACAGAGAAGATTCATGAAGATTCTAGAGTCTAAATTGTCTAAAGGTTTTGTAGTGTTTTGTCTTAGCAGGGGCATGTTGCAAGGCTTGATGGTTCTTTGCCGTATGTGGGGATTGCTTGACATCTGGCCGTCCATCCTAAGAAACCCATAGACATAATGGAGGCTAAATATGGTCCCGCCAGCCTACAAATACACAAAATAGGCATGATATATCATGATATGCATGCCGTTCACTGCTCTTTGCACCATTTGGAAATGCGTGATGCTGTTTGTGGCAACAATCTGTTGGAGGCTGCCCCGAAAAGTTGATGTGGCCCTACAAACAGGCACAACATCTTGGATTGCTGGGAACTGGTCAGGTGACAACTTTGCTTCCGCAAAAGTCTGCGCCCCCAAGCCACTTGTCGCAAATGCTGTTGACAATGATCACATGTGTGTGTGTGTGCATGTCTTGACTGATTCTTGGATGGTTCTTGGAAAACCATCGTGTGCTATATGCAAACTTGAGTTAGACTGGGCGCAGCATAGAATCAAATAATCCAGCGTGAACCTGACATGTGCAGCTCAAAAAGCAGAGCTGAAAACAGTCAGAGGACATCATGCGAGCCCAAATAATCCTTTTGACCTGGCCCAACTATGATTAGAATGATTAGAGATATGTCATGAATTGTCATGATATGTCTCCTGGAAGTTTTCATAGACCTGTGTTTTGGCCGAACACATAAACCTACACAATGCGTATCAGTATACTTCACCTTGCATCTCCTGTACCCACCACAGCCAGCCAGACCAGAAAAAAGAGGGCTGCTAGCATCTCCGCAAATGGAACGCTTGCTGTCACCAAGAAAGTTGGCAAGCCTACAGGAATCAATTTGAAGGAATTACGGAATCAACTTGTCAGGGATGAGCATGCATCATGTACATCAGTGCACTGATGCGACTTTCTTTGTCCCAAACAAAAGGTGCTATCACGACTTCTGAAACTTACATCATTTTGACAACCTGAAAAGCTCAATATTTGAGGGGTTGCCATCGCTCCCCTGAACCTGGCGAGCTGTTGCACTCGCTTGGCTGGGACGTGTATCCACCACAAACCTTGGTGCGGTCATGCCCAAAGCCCGCTGAGACACCAAATAACATCAACACGTGTATATACGCGTACATGCAGCTGCAAATTTCTGTGTCCATCTATATACATATACGATCATATACAATCATATACAATCATATACATAGCTTTTGCAGCTGTACTTATGTATGTAGATCGGTACACATGCACACGCGCATACACACACAAATACACCAACGTCATCAGTCATCCAACGTCTACATCTACCTTCGTCCTTGTGTCTGAAATACACCCATCTGTTCGTGCGACTATGAATCTGTGAGCCTATATTATAGATTACATTAGAGAATGACGCCTGAAATCGTAGAGGAATAAAGCTCGAGTGAATGCAAAGAGGCCTAGCAGTGTTCAGTACCTTGGTGTGATCATTTCCTTTCAATGCTTCCCATATCTGAGCGTCTGACTGCTTTCATCACAGTCTGTGGATCAAGTGGGCCGCTGTATCTGCAGGCGGATACATTGAGTTTCAGATTGCTCGTTCTTTTGAGTGCGGAACCATGAGGCACCATGCGGAACGTCGCTCGGCTGGTTGAGCAAATGCTCTGAGGGCACAGCCTCCAGCCATTGAGACGAAGTGCCAAGCTGGACCAAGCCACATTCTTAAGCTGTTCTCGCAGCAGCCTGGCTATTTGGTTCAAGGTAACCTTCACACATCTGCACACGCCATCACGCAATATCACGCAGTCCTTTCACAGTCTGCACCGTGTAAGATTATTGAGATTGCAAGGAAGAAAGACTCCGGTCACAAGCTGAAAACATGCTATGGCCACTTCACGCGAGATCTTTGAGTGCATTCTTGCACCTCGCACTGCTTCACCACTGTTGTGTACTAGCGTGCCAGGCAAACAGGCAGAATGGAAGGCACAAACGCCACCATTTTTCCAACCTTTGCTTATAGGCTGTACACATCTGTACACCATCATGAAGGATCATGAAGGATCTATGCAGCGAACTTCCATGTCATCTATTGTCATCTTGCATTTTCAACGAACATTCCTTGACCTTCTTCGCGGCATTTTGTAAATCCATCCTCTCTTCGTCACCATAATATATTCACAACCAAACACTACGTACGACTATTATGCCTTCATATGCCTTCCGTTCTGTCCGTGAATCTACCCACAATTCTGATGTCGTGAGCCCCTTCCTAAACAGTGAGTCGCACCCTGGCAAAGGCAGGCCCAACTGCACACATTTAGCCGCAATCCAAAAAGCAATCGCGTCTGAATTGACGCTGTGCTGTGAAATTGGGTGAAAACAGTCAACGCATCTCTACACAAGCATTCGCAGTCACGAGATGGTCCTGGCAACGGGCAAGAAAGCAGAAAGGTCGGTTCAAGCAATCCAAGGAGGCAAAACACATCTCAAGGCCGAAGTGAAAACAAGATGGCCACACCCGCCAGCAACACTCTTGCAGGTCACCGGGCCTGCCTGGCTTTTTCCAGAATTTGAGAGCTAACAACAAAATATGAAGGTGAGTGGTGAGATTGACAAGCACAACCAAAGTCAATCAAACTGCTTCCAAGCAGTCTCAAGCATCATACATCGCAGCAGTGCAATGCCCTCGCTTCTGGAAACGCTTGAGTTACCAGTTTACTACTGGGTTCGTATGGGCCCAGCTGCAAATAGTCCAGTCAGCATCTTTGGGCCCAAAGTTTCCAAGGGTGACACAACAGTCGAGCATTTTGTCTTTCTGGACTTCGAAGAAATGGATATAACATGATGTAACATCTTGTAATGTATTGTAATATGATGGAACGCCTGCTGTTGAAGAGTCCGCGTCTAGGTTCTGCGCATCTCACGTGACATGGGAAAACAATACTGGTCCTCATTGCCAACAGAAGCGTGAAGAAGGACGCGCAGTACTCCTTTAATTTTCTGGACCCAATATAGATTCTGCTCCTTGTCAGGATGCTCCTCCACGCTTTGTGCGACATAGATCAAAATGATTACAGTAATTAGTTGTGGTTACAATGATGGATGGAGATACAGGTAGCTTGTTGCCTGGCTCACATTCTAATGGTTATATATACCGAAGTTATGCCCTTGCTCGTCTCCAAAGAGCCCCCTGTTGCAAAAGTGCAACCTCTAGCCGGAGATTATTGGAGGTACTTGGCAAAGATCTTGGCCAAGCTTTGAAATGCATTTCCAACGTGTTTTGTTTGGTACTATCTAAAATCACCTGGCTCTACAGCTCGTCTGATCCAACTTTAAATGTCATCTCTTGACATCTCTTGCAAATACTAGGCTTACTCTTGTTTGAAAGTGCCGAATACATCTTTTTTCATTTACATGTAACATTCATTAGTAGTCATGTGAATCATGTTACCTGACTACTCCTCTGCTCCTTGGCACCCGCACGGATGTCATCCACAACGACCCATTGTAGGTTCCCTGCTTACCTTCTCAGAATACAAAATTGCTGATTGAGATCAAAGGCGCGTCTTGGCATTGAACTGTTACATCAGCAGAGCTTCATGAACTCTTAGAGTCTTGGAGCTTCATGAATTACTACTGGAATCGGGTAAACACTGGGAAAAAACAACTTTTAATTGCTGGAAAAACAATTTGAGCTTCAGGCCTCCTATCCACGCTGCAACACAAAATAAAGGCACTGGAAGAAACATTGATTATTGATGAATCTAAACATTTCGCAGTGTCATCTGCAGCATCTGATCTTTTGATCTGGCTGCAAACTTTACGTAGGGATACGTAGGGTTAATTTAAATTGTATTTTGGACTGTTCCCTGCAAGGCCAGTCGGGGTTTCTGTAAGGTTGCTTTACCGTTGATGTAGGGTTGGCTTGGTACTTTTTGGGGGTTGTCTGAAAGTTTATTTAGTGTTGGTTTAAGGGTACTTTAGGCGTGGGTTCAATATCTATTTAGGATTGTTTTGCGGTTTTGCGGTTATTTGTTTTGGGACTTTCTTAGGCTCGTTAATTTAGCGTTGGTTGTTGGGTTTGCTTTGGTGTAGTTGCTTTGTTTATTTAGGGTTGTTTTAAGGTCTATTTGGGGTTGTTTTGGTGCTTCTTTCGGCTAGTTTTAGGGCCTATGTCGTTGGTTTGACGGTTTCTTTTGGACTATCTTTGAGCTGATTCTTGTGTTGCTATGACTCCTCAGGCGTATTTCAGAATTTATTTACTGAGTTTAGGGTTCCTCTTGGAGTAGTGTCTAGTTTTTATTGGTGTTTGTTTAAGATCTATTTAATATTATTTAATGTTAGAAGTCAGGATCTATTTAATGTTGGTTTAGGGTTTGTATATACGAGGTACAGTAAGTTTAGCGTAGGGTTGTCTATGATATTTTGGTGATTTTTTAGGCTTGTTTTAAGACTTGCTAAGCGTTGCTTTTAGGTTTCTTTAGGGTTGGCTCAGGGTTTCTTAAGGTTGGTTTGGGGCTTATTCAGGTCGCTTCAGGGCTTACTGTATATAGGGCTAGTTTTGTTTGGAAAGGACCCCGAGACCAATGGATGAGGAGATAGGATCCACACCATGTGGGGACCAAAGGACCAGGGGACTGGAGATCTGGAAACTTTAAATTTTGCTTTTCGGTCACTTTATGGTCGTTACCAGGAAACTTGGATGTTGCTTCCCAATATCATCCCGCTGGAATCACCCATACATCCTCTCTATATCTCTCTGTGCCTTTGGCGTTTCACTGCGCTGCGTTCCTCATTAAATTACATAAGTGCATGTAAGATCATACAAGTACATCTTTCCGGCTCGCTCAGCATGTTGAGCAGCTGGCTCTGGTTGGTCAAGCAGCCAGGTCTTAACACTTCCCATGGAGCTTTCCCAGTCCTCAGCTGTTTGCACCCAGCTGCTCCTGTTCCGTGCAGCACCTATGAATATCTCGGCAATAGAGTTGCATCCTGGAAAGGATTTATTTAATCTTATGACTTATGTCATCTTATTTAATCAGTAATCACCCATAGTCATCCATAGTCACCCATAGTCACCCTGCTTTTCTTGTTAGCATTCCAGAGCAGTGTTTCTGACAGGTTCCTGAGGCCAAAACTTCTCATTGAGCTTGTCGTCTGGTTCTAGCATCTCCAAGCCTGACAGGTCTCGACAGTAGCAGGTGAAAAGCAGCAAGATATTGCATTGGCAAAAATATGGACAATATGGAAATACAAGGAGCTGTGAGGAGAGACTAAAAGTCCGGATTGTCTGGACCAGTTTGGTGACGGAAAGTGAGACGAAAAGTCGTCAAAGCTTGATCCAGCATGATCCAGCTGTGCTTCGCCTTCTGCCATGACTCGCTCACCTACTTTGGCTCCAGCTGGTGGCTGCATTAGCCTTGAAACTCGAGGTTGCATGCACTGGCATACACCAATATGTATACACCAAAACATACCACGAACATACCACGAACAAGATCCAGTGAGGATCATTGCATAACTCGTACGATAATTCATAGCAACCAATTGGTGCAATAGGAAGAATAAGACTCTCACCTTCAACCATGAAATGTTCTGTCAAATTAAACGAACATATCTTTTGTGAAAGCCACATATATAATTTATTGTCCATTGTTTGCATTGCAGTTCTGTGTCTGTGTCGGCTCAAGCCGCTCGGTTTGTTTCCGCTTCTTAGGTCCCGGCTCAACCTTGCCTTCACTACTTGTGGCACACATTACCATGCCTTGAGACTCGAACCCCACCAGCTTCCTGTGCTCAGCTGTAATCATCTCAGCGAAAGAAGCACAAAACTGCCATGCCAAGTGAACATTCTGTCCTCGGCTTCAGATTCGCCAAAACGATTACCAGCTGCCCCTCCATCTCCTCAAGGCATACGCAAATATCGCAAATGATTGGGGAATTGCTCACAAGAGTTGGTCAGCACTATTCCGATAGGAATGCATCGGGTCAGGTGTACGCAGGGCAAAACTTTGGCAAGAATACAGTGATTCACAGTGTAAAGATGTGCAATTTGATGTATGTACTTCTAGGCAAAGAACATTGGAGGACTGTTGCTGGGACGGCTGGCAGCGGTAATGGCATCCATCAAACAACAATCTGATGCAGTTCAAATGTAAAATTTGCCGAAACAAGATGTGCTCAAGACTGGGTCTCTAAGTCAAGTTTTTTTGTCACTGTTCTTTCTGGCTTTGTGTCTGGATGCTGTCTTAAAAGTTGCTTCTATGTGTGGGTAGGCATGATCGCACGACCAGAGAAATTGAATTCGAATTGAACTATGTTGCAACCACCCTAGCTTGACTGTCTCAAGCTAGCCAGTGCCAGGGCCTTTTCACTTGGAGTCTCCCTAGAGGAAATGCTGAACTGAAACAAGAAAGGTTCGACTTTCAGCCGCTGATCTGCTTAATCTCTTTGTTACTCAGTACTTGCAACTCTGGAGTAGAGACATAGTGAAAGAGCATTGAATTGTAAAGCGGAGTTTCTTTCCAACAGCTACGTCACCAGCGAGTCTTGCCCAGTCTCCAAAAGCCTGCAATTCACTCCAGTCCTCCTGCTTTAGATGCGCACGGAGCCCAGATGCAATCTGCACAGAGGACCAATGTGTGTGAATTGCGACCGTCTTTGACAATTTTGTTTGGCAATTTCTGCAATCAGCACCGCCCAACACTCCTTCGTAAACAAATTTCAAGAAGCCTTCCTGAACTTCGCAAATCATTGCAATTTCATAAACTTCTCATGGGGAACTGACGGAGCTGAAGTGCTTCAAGCACAAAATGAGCACACCATAAGCACTCTATCAACTCTATCTCTCACCTGCCGTGGCTTTTCTTCACCCAAGTCAATCTCTTCGCAGTACAACTTTTCAGCCTCACACGGCAAGATGTCAATAGCTTCAGCACAGCGAAACAGCTTCGTTTTTGAAGGCCAAACGTGGCACTTTCAAGCTTCAACAACTGCGACCAAAACAATTTGCTCGAGCTTCCGCACAAAAAGAACTCATCACCAAATCATCATGCAGGAATACTAATCAAATTTTCGTATTGAAATCAGTTGGGGTCATCTGAAGAATCTGCCTGCAGTCGCAGTAAATGCAAATTACAGAGGCATAAGGAGGGAACTGTTTCGTGTGGCCACACCTCAGATTGTAGAGAAGAATGAACCACGATTGATGGCTAGTTCCCATGTTGGGATTCCTTGTGCATGCATGGTCTTGCTAGTTCCATCTACAGTAGTTCCTATTGACTGATGGATGTCCATGCCCCTGTTGTGGGTTACTGTAGTATTTGCCAACCCATGGTATTGTCAATGGCTCAAACATGCTAAAACGACATTCCAGTCATATCACATCTCTGCATCTCGATTTTCACATGACCTTGACCTGCTTCGAAGGTGCTAGGTTCCCAGCCTTGGTAATCTTTCCAACTCTGATATTGAGCCTCAAAGGGTCGCTTTATGAGTTGACGCAACTTGCTCTCTCACACACTCCCCCAAAAGATCAAGCGCACGAACGCTTGAGAAAGGCTTGCGACCCAAGGCATGCGAAATCCCGGAGCCTTGAAAAGTCTTCCAAGGGCCTCTCAGCTGGCTTTGCAGCAGCCTTTGCCTTTGCCTGGACTTTTGTAGCACAAATCCCTGAGCCTAGCTCCATGACAAACCAATGATGCTAAGCCGACATTTACTCTATGACACTGGACGCAAGCACGTGAGAGCATGTAAGGGCGTTGAAACATTTTAAACTGTGTGGACACATTATTGCAAACCATTCTATCTTAATTTGTATCTCTGCAGATTGAAGCTTATGAAAATCTTGGGTCTGCAGGGACTGGACAATTCAAAAACATGCATCTGTATGTATTTTATAATCTAAAATTTGCTGCAATCTTTGGTCATCTGGGCTTGAAATTTGCCATTTTGTTGCCATGTTTTGCGATTTTGCTGTCATTCGGTGGTCATTGCAGCGCACAAAAAGTCAATGGACAATCATGCGCCCAGAATGCGTGTAAGGCATACAACTCATGGTCAGATCCATTCACTTGCGACTTTTACTCACTTACCACTGTCACACCTCTTTCACGGCTGCCAAATCCACCCACTTGTGGCTGTACTGTTTTCTAGGGTAGGGTGGGGTGGGGTCGGATGGTAACCTTCACTGGCATTTCCACATGGGCTAATGTGCTCATCTTCACCCGGACTTCACGAGTTAAATTACTAATGATGGAGCATGGTGGAACATCTTATGATGATGATGATGATGAGGAGGAGGAGGAGGAGGACACGACGACGACGACGACCGTGATGGACAGTTCCCAGCGAGTGGATCCAACAGTCACAAGCGAGTCATTGCCCTGTGTGGAGCTCCAAGTCCCATGGTCCAATGGTGGTCTTGGAACTTCGATGTGAATGCAATCCAATCTGGTAGAGCATGTACGTCTGGAATGTGTTTTCGTTCTCTGTTTCAAAATATTAATAAGTCTGCCCCTGCAAACAAAATAAACAACATAAACAAAATGAACAAATGTGGGGAATGTGGGGTTGAAATCATCGCTGTCTCCATGCCTTGCCAGGTTTCTCGTCCTTCTGCACCTTTGAATCCTGCGGATCAATCTCTGCGTAAGTCTTGCATCTGTATTTCTCTGGAGATCTCTGGAGAGCAATGTAAAGGAAATGTAAAGGAAATGTAAAGGAAATGCAACATACTGACAGTATCTCAACAAACGACTATGTGTGTCCTTGGCTTGGACATCACCATTCACACTGCCATTCACCTTCTTCTCTTTGGGCGAGGTGCCTTGTGTGAACACAGTTTCTGTGAGCCTTCTACAGTGTCAATTTCATGAATTGACTCATTACCAAACATTCATGAGCTGAAAGAAGGAACGCACTGCACAGCGTTCATTGATGCACCTTTTTTCTTTCAATTGTTGCGAGTCATAAGTCATGACAAGCCATAAAAAGCCATAAGGGTCATAACAAGTTATAACAAGTCAGAGCCTATCATAGCCCTCGCGGTGGCCTGCATCAGCCTTTACCTTCTCGCCTAAACGCATCAAACACGACTGCTGAAACATTGCAGCTCCAATGTCGGCAAACATTGCAAGCGTTTAAGATAGGAACTTCCAACGTAAAGTTGCCAATTATATAACTGCTCCAGAGCATATGACTCATACAACACTCAAAAGTAAGTCAAGCGAAGGTCGCAAAGATTTAACATGTCAGAATAAGAAAAGAGAAGGGGAAACAGAAATGAAAATCTGACCGCCAAAGTGCTGCATCTCTATTCTGAGCCATTGTGCCTTTCTGTCCAGCTGCACCCTGAAGCTTGGATGGATCTACCTCCCGAGCAACTCGATGAAGTTCTCAGAGTTTAGTTTAGTCACAAAAATGCGAAATAACTGGAAGATTTGGAAGCACAGCCTATTCATCATGCATCTACATGGTTTTGGCCTTCCACCAAACTGAGTTTGCAAAACAATGTCACCAAAATAAAATGAAAGATAATAAAAGCACAGACTTGCCGCAAGACTGTTTCACATGTTTCACTCTCCATTGGAGCTGAGGAGAATAAACTCAAAATCTTCGATGCGCCTTGGATTTCATCCCCATGTCCTTGCCCTTGCCATCAGGAATTTTCACCAGTACCATCCTGAAAACTCAAGCACGGCAATCTCAAAAAACACTGCTTTAGACAGGGCATGAAACCTGCAGGGAAACCGCACGCCAAATTCGATTAATGCATGTCAATTGTCAGTGAAATGTGATTTCGACCGAACTTCGACAATAATGTGCGACAGCCGGAGCACCGCCAGCAGCACCATGACACCAATTACACCAATGACATCTGCGAAATCCTGTGACATTTTGGGACAAAACCCGCGCGACCAAGTCTCCAAATGTCTCCAAACCCCAAAGTATCACAGCACCTGTGAAGCCCCTAAAATCATGTAGCCACTCTGTCCAAATCAACCTGTGACAGCATGCTGCAGCAGGCAGGAACCTATCGTAGCATGGTGTTTGCAAAGGAATTGGCACTGGCAGGACCAAAGAAGAATGATACCCAACACAGCTTTGACAACAGCAGAGATCCCTGTGGCAGCAGCACTGCGTAGCAGCAGAACCCCTGTCTTCAAAGTCCCAGCAACCATTCTCAAGAACACCAAAGCAAAAATCTGCAAAGTGGTTTGCCAGTTCCCGGGGGCATCTATGCAAGCAATCGCGAAAGTGTGCACCTTGCAAGACTTAAGCTCAAACAATGAGCAAAGTGAAGACATCTAAGGACGCTACGGTTCCACCTTTTGACGACCAGGCTGGAAAGCAGGTCGATCTACTATGTAGTAACCGCGGCCTAGGTCCAGACAGACTTCAAACCGCTTTGGTGTCTGAACATCAGCCCAAGAAATTGTTCTTTGCCCTGGCCACAAACGGCCGCAAAACTTTGCCCTGGATATTTGTCACAAATGACAGCAGTATGCACTTATATTTCTGGAATGCTTCTCTGGTAGATTTCTGCTTCGGCAACTATGGAACGGAAACTATGCTTTGGAACCATGGAATGGAAACTGTGCTTCGGCAACCGTGAAACGGAAAATATGTTTCGGCAACCATGCTTCGGAAACCATGGAACGGAAACTATGTTTTGGCAACCATGCTTCAGAAACCATGGAACGGAAACTATACTTCAGAAACTATGCCGTTTCTGTAATCATGTTTCTGAAACCATGCTTCCGAAACGATGTCTCAGAAACCATGAAGAGGAAACTACGCTCTCGGAATCAATTCATATTACATGGGAAATGAATTGCCGACCCCTCAACCCAATGATCAAGATCTTGAGGTTGGAAAAATGACTTGGAATCGTGATAAGAACTCTTGGGAAGTCAAAGCTGTGAAATGAGGAATGGGAAGGGTTAAAAAATGACTTGGAACCGTGATGAGAACTCTTGGAAAATCAAAGCTGTGAAATGAGCAATGCTATTGCATGTAGGGCTTTGGGGGGGAGGTTTCAAAAATGATTCGGAATCGTGATAAGAACTGTAGGAAAGTCAAAGCTGTGAAATGAGTAATGCTATTGCAGGAGAGGCTTTGGGGCGGGAGGTTTAAAACATGACTTGGAATGGTGGTAAGAACTCTTGGAAAATCAAAGCTGTGAATTGAGTAATGCTGCAATGCTATTGCAGGTAAGGCTTTGGGGGGGGGTTTAAAACATGACCTGGAACCGTGATAAGAACTCTTGGAAAATCAAAGCTGTGAATTGAGTAATGCTATTGCAGGCAAGGCGGCAAGGCTTTGGGGGGGAGGTTTTAAAAAATGACTTGGAATCGTGATAAGAACTCTGGGAAAGGCAAAACTGTGAATTAAGTAATGCTATTGCATGTAGGGCTTTGGGGGGAGGTTAAAAAAATGACTTGGAATCATGGTAAGAACTCTTGGAAAATCTAAGCTGTGAATTGAGTAATGCTATTGCATGTAGGGCTTTGGAGCGGGAGGTTTAAAAAGTGACTTGGAACCGTGAAAGCTGCGAATTGAGTAATGCTATTGCATGTAGGGCTTTGGGGGGAGGGTTAAAAAAGTGACTTGGAATGGTGATAAGAACTCTTGGAAAATCAAAGCTGTGAATTGAATAGTGCTATTGCATGTAGGGCTTTGGGGGGGAGGGTTAAAAAATGACATGGAACCGTGATAAGAACTCTGGGAAAGTCAAAGCTGTGAATTGAGTAATGCTATTGCATGTAGGGCTTTGGGGGGGGGGGCAGGGTTAAAAGATGACCTGGAACCGTGATAAGAACTCTTGGAAAACCAAAGCTGTGAATTGAGTAGTGCTACTGCATGTAGTGCTTTGGGGTGGAGGGTTAAAGAATGACCTGGAACCGTGATAAGAACTCTTGGAAAGTCAAAGCTGTGAATTGAGTAATGCTATTGCATGTAGGGCTTTGGGCGGGTGGGTTAGTCAAAGCTGTGAATTGAGTAATGCTATTGCATGTATTTCTTTTCTTTTTTGGGGGGGGGGAGGGTTAAAAAATGACCGGAACCGTGATAAGAACTCTTGGAAAATCAAAGCTGTGAATTGAGTAATGCTATTGCATGTAGGGCTTTGAGGGGATGGGTTAGTCAAAGCTGTGAATTGAGTAATGCTATTGCATGTATTTCTTTTCTTTTTGGGGGGGGGAGGGTTAAAAAATGACCGGAATCGTGATAAGAACTCTTGGAAAGTCAAAGCTGTGAATTGAGTAATGCTATTGTATGTACGGCTTTGGGGGGGGGGGCAGGGTTAAAAGATGACCTGGAACCGTGATAAGAACATAAGAACTCTTGGAAAATCAAAACTGTGAATTGAGTAATGCTATCGCATGTAGGGCTTTTGTGGGGGGGGGAGGGTTAAAAAAACCTGGAACCGTGATAAGAACTCTGGGAAAGTCAAAACTGTGAATTGAGTAATGCTATTGCATGTAGGGCTTTGGGGGGGGAGGGTTAAAAAATGTCCTGGAACCGTGATAAGAGCATAAGAACTCTTGGAAAAACACAGCTGTGAATCGAGTAATGCTATTGCAGGGAGGGTTTAAAAATGACCTGGAACCGTGATAAGAACTCTGGGAAAATCAAAGCTGTGAATTGAGTAATGCTATTGCATGTAGGGCTTTGGGGGTGGAGGGTTAAAAAATGACTTGGAACCGTGATAAGAACTCTGGGAAAGTCAAAGCTGTGAATTGAGTAATGCTATTGCATGTAGGGCTTTGGGGGATCGAAAGATGATGTGCAATCAAGTAGAATTGCATAGAATTGCAAACCTTGGTTGCTGAAGCGAACTATTGCTTGGTTGCTGAGCGGTAGTTGCTGAGCCGTGGTGGCTGAAGCGAAAGTAGTTTTGGTTGCGTGGCCGTGGTTGCTGAGCCGTAGTTGCTGAGACGGATTTTAATCATGCTTCTCTATGGTCTCTGCAACACCACCGAACACGGGTTTGAACGTTTTGGCGGGCGACATGGGGGTTGACTGCAGTGCCTCTTTCGTGTCAAGATCACAGTGAGCCGGTCAAAATTCACCCACTTACATCTCACATTATAGCACCACCAGTGTTCCCACGCATGTATCACCCCCGCATCATGGTGGCAACAAGCCCCCCTGTGCTGCTACATCTCTATGTAAAAGTTTGTAAAACAATGTAAAACATTAGACACCTGTCACTCAGCTTCGAGTGCATCTGCACTGCTCAACAATTTCAAAGTTTCCACGTGAAACCACAGCGAATTCGCAACTTCCAAACAATTCGGCGCTCCAATGTTCTGAGGGAACCTTTTTAGAGCTGAAAAATGAGGATCCAACGTTCGAGCTGTATTTTGCAGCCCTTTGGCAAAGTCTTCAGAAGTGGATCCCCAATCGCCTGAAACCCACCAGCAAAAACAGCATTAAAACATTGTGTGTGCTACCAAGAAGCACTTCCCATCAATGCCATTTAGATGTACCCTTAAATTTGCCTTTCCATTGGGTCACTTTGGATCTAACAATATCTGCCCGCCGGACCGGAAACCCTGCTCGTATTTTTTTAAAATGAGCTTGGCACTGTGGCGAAAGGCGTTCCTTTCATGACAATCCTCCAAAAAATGGATACCAAAACTTGGGCTCTTTTGCGTTTTACCACAGTAACAGCTCATTATCATCGAGGGGTTTTTGTGGAGTCTGAAAATAACATTTTTTCGTCAGAAGATGCGTTTCAATGCTTCAATCGTATTCTGCTGCGAGTTGGCACTGCGGTTCACGCACCGCCATTGCCAAGATTTTGCGTACAACAGTAAATCGCGGCTTTGGGTGGACTGCAGACCATGCTGCATCAAAAATACCAGTATGTCAAAGAAGTTTTTGCCTGCCGCGATATACTGTTCGCGTGAATTCCCCACGGTGGTGGCTCACATACTCATGTAAAATGCTCAATTCTATTCTGAAGATAACAACGAACGTAGTTGCAAGTTGTGTCACAAGAGCCGGTAACGTAGTTGCAAATTGTATAACAAAATCAACAACGTCGTTGGAACTTGATCGAGAACATAACAGCGTAGTTGCAAATTGTGTGATAAAAGTCAACAACTCAGTTGGAACTTGATCGAGAAGCTAACAACGTACTTGCATATTGTGTCACAAGAGTGGACAACGTAGTTGCAAGTTTACAAGACTAGATGATGCAGTTTGAATTTGAACAAGAAGATAACAACGTAATTGCAAGTTGTCTTACCCCACCCCACACCACACCACCCCATGCAAGTGTTAGAGAAGTTAGTAACGTAGTTGCAAATTAGTAACGTAGTTGCGCGTTCTCAAAAACGTTAGTTTTACGAGCACGGTTTTCGGTCCGCGGGCAAAAACAAGTCCTAGGATTCGAGGCCTGAGTATCCATCACGCTTGCAGGATTGATGAGACTGGGCAAGTCATCATCGTCCTCCATCTTCGGTCTGCACAGAACGAACGTACAGTATCATACAGTATCCCCAGGTGGAAAATGTGTCCATCACTCAGGCATCACAACGGAGGCGCTGGTAGTCGCGCACAGTCACTCTACAAAGTTCTACAGAGTTCGAGAACGTTCAAGATATTTCAAAGATCTTTTCGAATGTGTTTCGACAGTTCCTCTCAGTTTCGCTGACATTCGCTGACTCTTGGCACTCGGCTTTGTAACCAGATGGTCAAACTCCCGAAGAATGGCCGGAGTCACCTGGTCGAAGCAAGACAAAGTGCCATGTCAATGTGGAATCCTAGATCCTTGATGATCCGAGACGACCCCCTCTACGACCCTCTTTATGCCCTCGTTGTAGCATGATTATCGCAAAATGTCATGTTATACCAGTTATATCCCTCTTTGTGATTCTTTCTGACGTGTTAGAGGTGGAATCGAAGCTTCGCATGGGGAAACTGTGAGAAAGTCCTGTGGCCGTAACCATTCCAAACATTTCCCAACCCCCCTGCAGGCCCTGCACCTGTTGGTCAAGCTTTGGAACCTGAGATCTTGTCATGTTGCAATATTGGGCAACAGTTTGCCACCACTCAAAGCATCTTGAAACCATACAGACCAGACAGTAGCATGACATAGCCGCATGCCACAGCGTCAAGCAAAGGCTTCAGGGATCTTTGGGTGCGACTAAGCAATCTGTTTTTGATCAAGTTGACAAGCTGATCAAGCTCAGCAAAGTCGATGTTGAGGTCCGGAATTGTTCTGTTTTTTTTTTCTGTTTTGTTTTTTTTTGGATCTGCTGTTCTGTCCTTGCAACTCGCAGCATTTTTGGAGCTAGAAGCTGCCATTTCAACGGTATTGCAACCTTTGTTTGGAGTTCGAACCTCTCATTTTCCATGATATTTGCAAAATGTTGATGCTCAAACTTTTCGTGTTGGATTGGATTTTGCGACTAGGGGCCATCTAGGGGTGTTTAGGGTTGTTTTAGGGTTTATTTAGGATTGATTGGTTTGGTTTAGTATTTTTAATGGTTGGTTTTGTTCTCTTAAGGGTTGGTTTTAGGGTTGGCTTGGGGCTTATTTAGGGTTGGTTTAGGATCTACGTAGGGGTGGTTAAGGGTTTCTTTGGGCATGGTTTAAGATTTACTAGTATGTAGGATCTATTTAAGGTTGGTTTAGGTTTTAGTTAGAGTTGGTTCAGGGTTTATTTAGGTTTGGTTTAAGATCTATATATTTGGGGTGGGTTTAGGAATTATTTAGGGCTGTTTAGGGTTTACTTAGCGTAAGTTTCAGAGGTTTGTTTAGGGGTTTCTTAGTGTTGCTTTTGTTTTTTTGGGGTGTTAGTTTGGGGTTATTTCGGGTTGGTTTAGGGTTTGTTTGGGGTAAGTTTCAGATTTGTTAGGTTTTTTAAAGGGTTTACTTGGAGTTGCTTTAGGATGTATTTATATTGCTGTGCATATATATTGGTGTATGTTTAGGCTTGAGAAGCACAAAAGCAGAAAACAGCAAAGAAGCAGAACAGTGGAGAAGCAAAGAAGCAAAGAAGCAGAAAAGCAAGAAACAGAGAAGCAAAGAAGCAGGAAAAAATAAATCTAAAAAAAATGCCCAAAACGGAAACAGAAAATAATACAAATCCAAAAAAACACGGCCCTCCTTGTAGATTGAACCTCTTCAGATCTTGGGATTAGAGCTTAGGTTCAGTTCCTCGCGGTGCACTTCACCGAAATCGTGGGTGCAAACATGTTCAACTGTAAATACTGTAATCATTGTAATATATATAATATATTGTACAGTAATCTCTGACATAACATTGAAAGCTTTCAATTGTTTTTCAAATCGTGCGATGGCGGGTTTCTTATGGTTGTTATCGACCCGCCACTGCGGGGATGCACCCGGGAATCGAGTAAAAGGATGTAAAAGGAGGGGTCCAGGCCATTGCTACTCCACATGAAATCACTGAAATCACATGAAACGCAGGTGACGCTACCTTTCGCAATTGGTGGGAAGGAGGGATCATGGAGGGCTCATGATTAAAATTCCTGGCTTCATGGCTTGCAGAGCACTGGCTACTAGCTAGTTACTAGCGCAAATGTCATCACACTAGTAGTACTTTTTGTCATGGGAGATGCTTTGGATTGATTTCTGTATGCCATGGGCAGCAAAGATGAAGTTGTCTGAGCTCGATACCCAATGAATTTTCTTCTTTGTGTCTTTCACATTACCTTCAACATTAAGTCTGCCAGTGAGTTTAGTCACTCTTCCATTCCTCGGCATTGCTCGGCCCGGCCCGGCGCAAACAACACACCGAGCCTACTGACAGTTGCCTTCAGTCTGTAAGCCACTGTAAGCAATGACATGTGCAAACTCTGCAAACTGAGTTCAGTGCGATTTTGTGATATTATCCTTAGTATATTATGGACAATGGAATCAGACTAGTTACTAGTTGCGTCATGTTGCATCTTTCCAAGTCTGTCCCGTTGTCAAGCAAAGTGTCGACATAGGCGTTTCCCCAGTGAAGCAGCGTGACTTGCTCGCCTTCTTCAATAGCAGCTGCATCCTCTTGTAGGGCTGATTTTGAAGAATGTTGGATACGATACAGTTGATACAGATGATCATATTATGCATTATTATGCCAGAATATCATAAATGCGCAAACAAACCCGCATAGACAGGTGGAATTGTGCCCAATCCCTGAATTGAGCCTGACACAATGTTGATTTTAACTGCGTTCTGCTGGAGCTTGCTCATAATGATTGTGATAAATCAAACACTGTCTAGATGGAATATTTCCCAATCAATGAGGCATGATGGACATGGGTACAGGTCTGATTAGCCTTAATTCGTCGCGGAGCGCGTTTCCTCAAATACATCAAGCAAATCCTTCGCAAGTGATCACGTGCAGAAATTGTTCTTCCCTGTACTGTAGACAAACGGATAGTATCGTAGGCGGCACAAGGGCAGAAGCTTGCAAAAGCTGCAGCGCACAAAATCTTAACCACATAGAAGCCGCTTTGGATTGCGCGGCACTGATGATCAATGACTTATGATCTGACATAGATTTTGCTCACGATTAATGACATGTGACTGCATGATCGTTTGATCTTTTCTTGCTTTCCTATATTTCCTGTTCCAATTCATTTCCAAGCAGCAGTGTCCTCCTGGTCGATGTAAATCTCCTTGCTTTGCAGGAGAAGTCGCTCTCCCAACTCGTCATTCTTCGGATGCTTCCTGATCACTAAACTTCCAGCGCAGCCAAGACACAGGAAGAATTCGGAAAACATGTCAAAAACATGAAAGTGAATCTGTGTCAGCCTTGGTTGCATTGAATGGTGGCTCATGCATGGTACAGAAGATCCAGTCTCGCAAAATCTTTGCGCTTGAGCATCTTGAGCTTGCGTACTCTGAGAGTACTCTGTGTTAGAGCCATTAAGGGCAAGGCTTTGTCATTGTACTCTGTGGCTCAGCCGGGCCGTCCAAGAAAAGAACTGCCTCAGAGCACGCAAATTAGGCCCACTGGAGCTGTTGGAAGCAAACATAAAGATATATAAAGACGAAAAAACAATCAAACATACAGTAACATACATGAAAAAGTCCACATACCAAAACAAAAACGATCCAAATCTTGCAATGCATTTCGTTGTGAAGAAAATAGGCCCGTCACTGCATCATCAGCAACAGCTGCATACCGCGGCACTACAGGATCAATCCTCAGCCCGGAAAGATCATCAGGTCGTAAGAACTGCTGCATCAAATCATATCAAATCACCATTAGTCACAATTATATAGTCACGACCATATCAGGAACTGATCCATGGGGTGGCGGCTTCTGCTTGTTGATGGCCCAAATCTTGTCCCACTCCATCATGTTGGTTGCCTTGCAGCGACTGCAGTCAAAGTCTCTCAAATTTATCAAGCTCCCTTGCGAGTCTGAAATGCTTTGGGCTTGAAAGGTACTCAAAGCGGCCAGTGCTGAATATTCCCCACTGACAAATTTCACGTCAATGTTGCTTCCTCAAGGGCTGCTGTTTGTTGACCGCTCTTGCCTTCGACATCCCTTGGGTGAGGACAAACTCCTGCAAACCCTCCACTGTCATTCCTCGCCGCATGACACCTTGCACCTGGGAAGTGTTCAACACTTTATGACATCGGCATGACGCAGCACACTAAAAAGTAGAAAGGAGCAACACAATAAGAATCAACAAATTCAAGAACCATCACCGACTGATCCACTCTATGACAGTCGCGAGTAGCAGGTCTGACACACTTTGATGGTGGCGAGTAGCAGTCGGGAAGCGTGGGTCGTCCCAGCCATCTACCTTGCACATTGATCGACTTCGTCAGATGTCAAAATTGCTTGTGGAATTACAGTGGAATCTACTTTTTCAATGGTTACGAGCAATTGTAACAATTAAAACCTGGGAATCTATCAAGGTAAATGGAAGGTGGCTCTTGCAGGCTTGGAACAGTAATCTCATGTTGAAGCAAACGCAAATGAGCATGGCACATGCCCATTGTCAACGAACCATGCCAGCTTCCTCTTTGAGAGGATGGTGTAGGAGAATTGAGTTTTTGCCTGAAGGGAGGACGAGTCACGCCTGACAAGCCTTCAATCTTGACTTTTACTACTCAGTTCCATCTTGAAGAGCCTGGAGTGGCTAACATGGTTAACACATAGAGTTTGACATGGAGGCAAATGCAGCACGCAAACACACACACACATACACACCATACCATGTCAACGAATCTTCAGTGGCGTCTCAAGTGGAACTAAGTGTTGCTGCAAATTCGACCACGTCAACTTTTCGTGAACCGGTCGCTTCCAGCACCCACCTCGGAGATCTCTAAGCATAGCCACACTACAAGTGCCGGGAGTCCTTCGAAATCACTCACTGGTTCCAATTTCTCACCTATCATTTTTCTGGCTTAGTTTGCCGCAGCTAGATCTGATTCTGATTCGAGTCTGGTGAAAGTAATCAACATCATCGCTGAAGACAAAAAGGGTGGCAACAATGTTCTCGAGAAGCAAAGCAAAGAAAACCGCCAGGGTAGAGGTGTCTGAGCAGGCGCAAGGCTATCGACCGAAACTCTCTGGGCAACCAAGAATGCTTAGGCCCTTACTCATACATAGCTGCACGATCCCTGTATTCGATCGTCCGCAGCGCATGAGTCACGCCCTGGCTCTTGACCAATTGCAGAATGACAGCATGCAAACTCAGCATGTGACCGCAGGATGTGACCACAGCATGTGAGAGCTCAGTTTGTTGAAGGACTGTTTCACTCATCGCTGGCAGAGTGTACCATTCTTTGTATGTCTTGAAGAGTTTATGTAAGTTCAGTTTCAACAGCGTTGAAATATTGCTATCAATCAAAGTCTCGGTTTCCAAAGCATTGAACAATTGCTATCCTTCAGTCTTGTCTGGGTCATTGGAAATGGCCACCAGATGTATCACTATGATGTTTCACAACGGAAGCAAGTGTCTTCTATTTGTTCATCTTTCATCGTCTTTCTACCAGAGTGAGCGCATGAGGTTCATTACAAACTACAAACATCTACAAACGGTCCGATACACCCAGCATCCTTTCTCTACACATGTAGTGCAGGTTATGGACCCTTGGCATATCTTGGTATGCCCTGGTAGTATCTGGTAGTGACAATTTGCTTTCCTCCTGATTCTCATCATTTCCGCGCAAAACTGAAGACCTAAAGCTTTTGGTTCATGTGTCGTGCTTGTGTTGTTGCAAGGCAACACAGCCTAACACAGACTTTTCACAGGCAACCATGTCAGTTCATCATTCACACATTGCGTGGATTTCATGATTCATCTCATCATAGTCGTACATAATATTTACGTATAGTCAATTTCAAACTGGCGCGAAGCTGAGGCAAAGCTTGTACGAACGTATGTAATTTTGTGTGAAGCTTGTGAAAAGGTTGGGCGCGAGTGGTTCTGTTCATTTTTGAGGAATAAATTCGATGGAAGATTAGTGGTCCACCAGCAGTTTGAAAACAAAAGCGGCGTTCTTGTGTTGTTGCGTTGTTTTCCTTTGTCATCGTACAAATTTCATAGTCGTTGCCTCTCCTCATCAAGTCCTGCTCAGTTCCTAACCCTTGGACTTGCCTTTGATTCGTTGCGTCTTATGTATCAGTCAACCAATAAATCAATCTAACCTACTGTATAATAAAATGAAGTGACATAAATAAAATGAACATAATATACAGCATGATATGATATGATATGAATGAGATGAAATCAATCAATAATCAATGCTTGCAACATTGGATTTGACACTATATACAGTGTGCCTTGTTCTCACCTGGATCGTTTTCAAAGCCTTCCATCCACAGCCATGCTTTATAATTCTCCAAGTTGGATATAACCAAATTCGCAATTGTGGTTCCTTCTTCAGGGTTACTCATCTCATTGCGTGTTGTTTTGTTTCCCAGCTGCTGCACTGTTCTGGTCTAGCTACTACACAACTTGGGAGTGGCCAAGCGCAGCGTTGAAGCCTCCAATGCATCCACGATCGGACATGCGAAGTCATAGGTTGGGTATGCCTTGCACAGAACTTGACAGGCAAAACGTTGCGAAGCTTGAGGACAGTGACGAAGTGAAGAGGGAAGAAGGGAAGAATCCGGGTAGCGCAAGCAAAGCTTGCTCGAGATGCTCAAACCAAAGACTCCATTTCTTAGAAATGGTTCAGACCGACCTTGTATTTGAAGCCATGCTTGTGGTGGGGCCTTGGCTATCCGCCCCTGGACACAAAGAAACTAAGCAAGCGGACCCTTTCGGATCCTTTCATTTGTGTAAATACATCAATAACTTTGTGCCAATAAGGAGAGAAGACCACGAAAACAGCTTGTTGCTAGAGCCACTGGCTTCTCATCTTTCTGGCGAGGACAACAATCAAAGATGAACTGAGGCTTCCGCAGCTCTACCTTGCATCGGTAAAACACAGGATCTCGTAAACACTTGTTTGCGCTTTGCATATCCTTGGTGCACGTGCACACTGGCCTGAACAGAACAAACTACATAGTCAGCATAGTGCAGAAAATTTGGCTTATTTTGGTATCACACGATCTCACACTGTATTACACACATTCACACACACACACCATATCATAACACAGATTATTACACCATATCATACCACATGTCCACCATAACACCATCACACCATATCACATCCTCACCTTGTGTTGGAAAAATGTTAAGTTCTGTCACAGCCAGGGCGCCATCTTACCACGGACACACATCTTGAGTCCTTCTTCCGAGCCTGGAGGCGAAACCGAAAGATCCGAAAGATCCGAAAGATCCGACCGAAAGCCAAGGGGGCAAATGGATGGTCTGGTTGGAGATGGTACAAAGACAGCAGAAAAATTGCAGAAAAATGGTAAAGGAGCAATAAGGAACAATAAGGAGCAATAAGCAGCGGAGCAAAGAAGCAGCAAAGCACAGTAAATCACTCAGTAAATCTAAAGTCACCGAAGGTGAAAGGGTCGTCAAAGGAAGCCGAAGCGAACCAAGGCAAGGCTTGTTGCACGTCTCGAAAGACTTTTGCAACTCCCCTCCGACCTTTCAGCATCTCAGCAAAACGTCGAAGATTCTCTTCCACGGGCCTTGAGAAAATGACCATTCAAAAACATTGCAATCAGAAATGCAAGAAAAAGATTAACAAATGAACACAACGTTCATTTCTGCCAAAAGCAAACTAGCGAACTTATTGTCCGGTGATGCTTACATCACTGACCAACTTCTCACTCAAATCTGGAAACATCTCAACTTGCTCTTAGAACTCTTGGAACTCTTGGGCCTCGTGGAACTCTTGGAACTTTTGATCGTGGGAAACATCGCTGATCGCGGAACTGAGGGTGCTGCTGTGATCTGCACTTGCTTGCAGTGCCCTTGTCACGCTCAGCCCTGCCGCTCAACACTCGCATATGAAAGCTTCTGAATGTTTCTGCACAATTTGAACATATTTGAACCAATTTAGCAAATTTGGTCGTTTCTTAAATGGTTTGATCCTGCACACCGCTGAGTTGCGCTTGTCTTCTGCTCATCCGCCTCATGGTTTCCTGGTCGGTGTCGTCCACGTAAGCTTTCCCTTTCTTAATGAGATCCTCAAACGTGGGACAGCTTTGGCCCGGTTGGCCATATAAATGGACTTGGCGACTAGTGCCATATGGTGCTATGAGTCCGGATGCTAGTTCTCATGCCAGGCTTTCGAGGCAGAAGCATTCACTAAAAAGGGCGCTAATTTTCTGTGTGAATGATAACGGCTTCTGTCAACTATAGCATCAGTCAAAGTAGACATGCACAGGTATCTGAATATCCGCATCATAGGAAACACATTTTGTGCGAACGGGATGAATGACATCTGGTCCGGAAGGTGAATGTGACCCCTGTCTGATTCGAAACCTAGTGTGTTCAGCCAGGTTTTGTCGAACGAAATCTGGACAAACATCCGAAAGATTTGATTGGTTGTGATTGATTCCTCGTCAGGTTTGTTATGTCTCTGCAACTTCGCATTTGGTGTCCTCCATCGCTATTTGAAGTTGGTCAAAGTAGTCAGATGTGTGGCTGACCATGTCTGGCTGAACTTGCCTGAGATCATTGCATGTCAAACCACTTCCAAAGCGAGCAGGAGTCAAAACCATCAAGAGACGCCCAAACATTCTTTCAGGTGTGATGTTTGTGAGGAAAGCTCCAGCTTGCACTGCTAAGCCGCTAAGCGCTCTGCAGTGTAGCCAAGTCCTCCCAAAGGCCCAAAAAGAATCAAAATCTCAGAGAGTCTCACACAGAGCTAGAATTTTGCATAACCAGCACATTGACGGCTCACGCCCCCAGCTTTGCACTGCATTGACCCTGCAGATTCGCAGTGAGCAGGGGGAACATGGGAGAACGCCCTCTGATGATTTCATTGGTCCCACTGGTCCAATTGGATCCAATTGGACAAAATGGGTTCAATTTGTCCCTGTCCATTTTGTCCTTGATCATACTTTCCTCAAACTCCATTTTCTCTTTGCTGGGGTTTGTGTCGTCGAAGCGGACGATGAGTTTGCCCTGGCAATGATGGACTTGAGTGACTTGGGTGATCCAAGTTGGCCCGCTTTCAAGACATGCTATGGCCTGTCACAAAATGTGTCAAGCCTTCAAAATATATTCAAGCAGTAATGCTGGACCGGACCACAAGGATGGCAAGAACAGCACAGGACAAAATTAATCAAAATGCGAACAGCATCTGATAGGGCCTGATAGGGATGGACTACAAAACCCCACCAAGGAACTTTACTTCTGCTCATTATTGTTCATTTGGATGTAGAATGACAATGAATGACATATATCTCGGATTTCCATGGATTTACCATGTTGCAGATTGTTTTAGCCTCCAACAATTCATGGACACCATTTTCATCTGCCTGGTAGTGGCGTGCGTAGTGGCTGTTCAGCATTGCAGCCTCGAACAAGCATGTCCAGAGGCCAAAGCAACCAAAAAGTCAATTCAAACAGTTGGTATCAGTTGGTCTGCTTCACTTGCTCCAGTAACAACATGGACAACAACATGGAGAAACTGTAAGAAGCGGAACAACATCGACCAGCCAAATAATCGAATCTCACTGAATCCCATCACATTTCGTGAGACATTTCATGACGTTCCGCTCTCCACTTCATAGTCAGATGTTCCTGAAATCTGCTTTATTGTTTTACATTCGAGGAAATCTGCTTCATTTCCTGCCTTCGCGTGGCCAATGTGCAAATAGCCGCTTGGCTCCGGCGGGAAGCGTGTACACACCTACAACCAAACACGGGCGATCCAACCTATGGTGTGCATCGAGGCCCACACAGTGCCACAAAGTGCTACAAAGAACATGCCGAGAAACCATGTACATCTGAGTACATCTGTGAAAAATTGTGAAAACAAACGAAAAGGAAAACATGGGAAAAGAAAGTGTCTGGCCAAGCCTTGCCAACTTCAGCACCTGGTAGCAGACCTTCAAGCTTTGCTTGGTCCTCAAACAAATTGAGCAATGCAAAGAGGGATTTTAGCAGCTAGATGCTAGCATCGACCTCATTCTGCCACATGAATTGCCTCACAACTTTCACCTACTGAAATAGTGTGCTCGGCGCGGCTTGCTCTTCTTTATTGGGGTTCCACGTTTATACCCAAGCTCTCCTGCCCAGCTTCCGAACAATCAACTCGAAGAAATTCCAAAAGCATTCCACATATTCCAAAAAGTATTGAAAGTACTGCTGATGGCAACATTTACGCAAGAATCCATCAACGCATCTCCCCGGAAACGATCTTGTGCCTTGCCCTTTTCTGACTTGGCTTCGCCCTTGTCTTTTGCAGCCTCGATTTCGGAAACTCAAAAGGATAGGCACAATGCAAATCAATTCAAATCGCTTGAGGGCGACAAGGGTGCGACAACAAAAACAGGGCCTGATCTTTGAGGCGCAGGCGGAAGGCCATTTCCGGAAAGGAAACTTTGTCTTCAAGTTTCGAATGTGCTGAGCCCAGCCTCATTTCACCCTAAAATGATGAGGTCAGGATGTGACTTTCAGAAACGAGGCCAGAACGTCTCACATGAGGAAATTGCGCGCCAACATTGCCCGGAGCCTCCCAAAGACCAAAGAGCAAGAAAGAAGTGTGTCTGGATGTTGACGAAGCCTTGCAAGATGTTGCAAGAGTGCCATGCTTGTCATCATAGTGGTCGCATTTTAGTTTCACCACAGAGAACAATGTTGCAAGGTTAAAAGACTAACTGCAGGTTCAAGACCTGGTCCAAGAAGTCAAAATCTTCCTGTGTTGCCGTGGCCTTGGCACCCAGCGTGACAAATGACAAACCCTGCCATGACACTTTCACTTTGCGTCACAGTTGTTATCCTCTTTTGATGCCGCATGAGTCAAAGTTGCCAGCACATTTGCTCATCCCAAGCTCTTGGCACCGCTGCAAACATAGCTGGTGCTGGCCAGGTGATCGTTGAGCTCCTTTCAAAGAGGGCAAAAAGTTACATTTTGATTCATTTTGATTCATTTTGATTCATGTTGAATCATTTTGCAACTTTCTAATCTTTTCGATCCCCAATATCTCTGCTGCACTTTCTGCATCTCTTCTTGAGTGAATTCTGCCCATGTCAATGCTCAACAGGAGCTTGATAGAGCGATTGAACATGCACAGTGAGGAGACATCATAGTCAAGAAGTCTGCCTAATATCATCTTGGGGTCAGCTGAATTCAGCCAATGCAGTCAGCATATAAGTCATCATGTAAAAGTCATCATATGAAAGTCATGTAAGCCAAACGGGAAAGCAGTGAGTTTGTGTTCGAAGCAAACCTTCAGCCCTGCTTCCGTCTTCAAGCTGCCAAAGGCGGCCTCTGTGCACAGCAGGCTGAGGCTGAAAAGAATAAGGAAACAAATAGCAGATGCAGCAGAGAGGAATCAGAGTTCGACGACGACAAGTTGGAGTATTTTAGACAGAGTCGGAAGATGTTGGAAGTTTACCTCAATGATGTCACCAAGCAGAATGGTTATCTAAAGTCTGATCCAACAATACCCGTACTAACTATCATGGAATCTTCATGGAATTCACATGGAATCTTAAGACTAATACAGACAAAAAACTACTATTGTTTCCTATCGTGATTGCACATGTCTCGTAGGTTTTTGCACACTCAAAACTTCAAGAGTTCTGCGGCCATCAGCAGGCTAGGGGAGCTCGCCATATCTCTTTTCCTCAGTTGCTCAAGCGGGTAAACTGTTTCTTCAAGCAGCGTCTGCATGTGCATGCAAGGCTGCATATGTTGTTTGTCCGATGAAAAGATTAACAGCAAAGTATGTGTTGCAAACGTACCTGATATACTGTGTATCTGGACGCATGGACGCAAGGATACATGTGTACGTATATGTATTATATAATATATGTGCGTGTGTGTTTGGATCTGTGCGTGTATGCAGGTACAGCATGTCACTATTTAGTGAATTGTGTGTGTATGCGTTGCCATCGAAGCAAGCGTGCCCACGCACTTATGCAAGTGGATACTGTAGGCAGGCATGCAGGCGTGTGGGGCTTGCGTGCAGCCATGTGCGGATACATAGAGGTATGGATGTCCAGTGTGAATGCATGTAGGGAGATAGAAATACTTTGCATAATCAATTCGTATAGTACAATGTGTGTTTTACATCTTTAAGTCATGCCTTTTTTTGTCGCTTTTGTATGGTTCTACCACTTTACTAATCAGGGACTGCCTAGGTCTGCCTTGTCTCTCTTGCCTTCGATGCCTTGCAAACGACATGTTTGGCACAGCTTCCTACGGCAATTCGTACGAGGCTTGACAGACAGAACGCTCTTGAAAACACTAAGCATGGCGTGAGCAGAACCTTAACTCAGTACTTAACAGAAGCATCTTTTGCGATTTCGCTGGTTGCATATGACCTGCACTTCGTCGACTTATCTGAGGGTCACGCGGTCACGCAATGAAACAGACAAAACCCAGCCAGGAAAATGCAAAACTTGGCTGGGAATTGCGCACAGCTTTTGAGTTGTTGAGTCTAGGACTTCTAAGATGTCTGCAGTTTTAATTTATGCATGGGGTCCTCGTGAGTGGCGGCTAGGTACTCAGTTCACACTTTACTTCACAGTGCTCTGCTAGAGTGATTCTTGTTTTACTATTGCCTCACTTGGTCTTGGCGCCGACAACGTTGTTTGGGAACACAAAACCTAGCCCTGAGCAAATGGTACTCAGCTGATTTGGCGACGGGAAGTAGGAGCCGCTGTCAAAGGGTTGCTGAGAAGGTCAATGTGTCAGAGCCCAATGGCTGCTGCATGATTGGGACAAATGATCAAGCAAACGATAAATTTGCTGCGTTGGTGCAGGAACAGTATGGCATCCGTGGCCACAACGATGACCCTAGATGACCCAAGGGCAGCTACGTCAAAATGACAAATCAGTGCTACTGGCCCTGCCGTCAAAAGACTTCGCAAAACAGCGCTGACTCAACATCGACTAGCTGTAGCTGCAGTGTAGTTTGCGGTTGAAGCAAACTGAGCGAAGCACTTAAGCAATCATAATCATTCATAATCAAACACAATGCAATGCATTGAACAGAACTGGGTTCCAGCTGCGTCCTCTGAGACCGAGCACCGCAGCTTTGTCGATGCTGAGATCACCCATAACTCGCTGTGAACACCTGGGTTTTTGAGACATTCTTCGAAGACAAAGGTTCCTTGAGGCCTACGGTCACCCTTAATCAAGTTTGTGACGTTTCCAGGAAATCATTGGAATCCGGAAAACCAAAAGAAAACGTCGCTTCGAAAAATCAGAGAAATCACCTTTCACTTTGTTCCTAAGTGTTCCTGAGGACTCTGCTGCTCGCCAAAGCGATGAGAGGGATCTGAGCCCTGCAAAACAGCGCCACAAGTCTCAGTACCACGTATCGAAGGAAGTTTAGAAGTCAAACTTCCGACAATACGGGCAGATGAAAAGCAGAGATGGGAAGAGTCAGAGAAGAGAAGAGAAGAAGAAAGAAGATCAAAAAGAGAAAGTCTCCGAAGAAAGAAGACCCAGGTGCGTGAAAAGGTAGGAAAGTCGCGAAACACTGTGTTTTTCCAATGATTTGTGGGTGCGGAGGGCCGAGAAGTAGGCTCGCTAAAGCGGCGTGTGCGGAGCCGTCTGGCCAGATCAGAGATGAAAAATTGCACGCCGTTGTGGCGCGAAGCGCGTTTCCAAGTCAAAATGTACAAAACACACCATGTTCGGAGCACTCTTGGAAGTTGAGATGTCAAAAAAGTGCACGCCGTTTTGGCGCGAAGCACATTTCGAAGTCAAAATGCATAAAACACACCATTCTCGGACCACCTTTGGAAGTTGAGATGTCGAAAAAGTGCACGCCGTTGTGGCGCGAAGCACATTTCGAAGTCAAAATGTTAAAAGCACCACATGCTCGGACCACCTTTTGACATTCAGATGTCGTTTCGCGTGGAAGGCGCAAGGGATTGTGCACCTGGTCAAAAGTGAGCAAAACGTGAGGGTTTGTTTTGTAGCATTTCCAAAAACGATGGCAGGCGTGGGGCATTTGAAGAGGATCTGCAAAGATGCATTTCCCGTGGCAGGCGCGCTACAAGAGACATGTTCATCAGAGCTGTTAGGAGGTCCGGGCGCTGATTTCCTGAGAAAGGTTGCATTTGGGAGCATCAGATCTTCAGTTTTGCTGAGATGATTTTGCGCGACAGGCGCAGCACTTCGTATGACCTGGCATCACTTTTTCGTGGCAGGCGCAATACTTTAGACAGTTGAAGTGCAAAAAACGCAAAACGCATTGGCACGAGGCCGTCAGCTCTGCACTCAACTTTCCATTTTTGAAGGAAGTCTCGCAGAATTGCTTCGTTTTTGATGTTGCCAACTTCGAAAATTGAGGAAGTCTCGCAGAATTGTTTCGTTTTTGATGTTGTCAAGTTCAAAAATTGAGGAAATCTCGCAGAATTGCTTCGTTTTTGACGTTGTCAAGTTCAAAAATTGAGGAAGTCTCGCAGAGTTGCTGCGTTTTTAAGCTCGCAGGTAGACAGACAGACAGGCAGATAAACAGATAGATAGATAGATCGATAGATAGATAGATAGACAGACAATTGCAACTACAACAACTACAACTACCACTACACTGCACTACAGCTACAGCTACAAATGCAAATATACTACGCTACCTTACGCTACACTAATCACACTACACTACACTCATTACATCTCATTACATCTAATTACACTACACTACACTACACCAATTACACTAACAACTACAACAATTACAACCACAACTACAACTACAATTACAACTACACTGCACTAATTACACTGCAGCACACTACAACTACAAATACAATTACAACTACAAATACAATTACAACTACAACCACACTACATTACACAACACTTCACTACACTGATTACATTGTATTAAATTACAACTACAACTACAACTGCAGCTGCAATTACAACAACAACTACAACTACCACTACATTACACTACACTACACTACACTACACATACTACAGTACACTACACTACACTGCACTACACTGCACTACACGACACTACACTGCACTACAATACACTGCACATACTACACTACACATACTACACTACACAACACTACATTACACTGCACTACAATACACTAATTACACTGCACTACGCTACAACTACAACTACACTACTTACACTACACTACACTAATTACACTGCACTACACTACAACTACAACTAGATTACCTTACACCAGACTACACTACACTATACCACACTACGCTATACAACACTACACGACATTATGCTGCACTACGCTACACTAATTATACCACACCGCGGCTACAACTGCAACTGCGCTTGCAAACAAAATAATTACACTACATTACAGCTACAGCTCCACTACACTACAACTACAGCTACAGCTGCAACTACAACTGCACTACACCACACTACATCCAGCAGTTGTGGGCCAGGTGACCACTGCAACCATTGCAACCATTCCAACCATTCCAAAAAACACAGCTCCAACCACCTTTCGGTCCATCAGTGGATTCGCTCTGCCATCCGTGATTCACAACAACCAATCTCTCCTATAGGCTTCCTATTTTTGAAACTTCCGCCGCTGCCTTGTGCGGTACTACTGGTATAAAGTATTACCAATTCAAGAGATTGAACGTTTGCACTTCAAGTTGAATCAATGAATATATTCTCGCCTCAATTTGCTTTTGCCATGCTTGAACAAAATTTGGACATTTGATCCATTTTCAAGTTTAAGTTTTAAGTTTTAAAGTTTTAACCACTTCTTCAAGTGCCCTTGCCTTTGTTCAATTGTCACAATTCCCATTTATGGAACCGAATCTGGATGCCTTGAAGTGACACCTCTGGTTGAAGTCAACGATGTACTGCCTCAACACTTCCGGAAGAAGTTAAAACAAAGTACGAAACAAATACAAGACAAATAGAAAAATAAAGAAAACAATTTAGAGCAGAGGGTGAAACGAGATTGCTGGAACGCTGTCGCCCTCTGTCAGCGACAGGTTGCCACAGCACTGGAATCGACTTCACATTTGAATGTATCTATAGACATATCTCCCGGGCATATAATATATTATATATAATATCATGTGCATATAAGGTAGCATGCATCACGTACGGCAAGGGCGCTACTCGAACACCTGTGAGCAAGAATTCTGGTGAAGCAAGAACATACAAAAACCGTGAATTCAGATGCGTCCAGAATTCAGAAGCTTCAAAATCCAAAAGATCCAAAGCCAACAGAGCCCCGGCATTGCACACCTCAAGCACCTCGCTGCCTCAAACACCTTGCAAGCAAAGCCTTTGTTCACCTCGCCACGCACGCACCAAGCAAAAAGCAAATGCATAAGCCAAAGGCCAGAAGAGCCCGGAGTAGGAAGCTCCGTTTGGATGATTCTTCCTGACACATATTGACGCATGTTTTATTTTGAAGATCTCTGACGTGTTTGAAACAGAGCTGGTCCCTTCCCTCTTCTGTCCAATCCAACTGATTTGAGTCGGGTGTCCTTGCAGCGGTATTCCAGATGCAAAGCTGCCTAACATCCTCGTTTGCCACATCTCCTGTGCGGAGCTCTTGCCAGTATATGATGTGTGTACGTACATTGTAGGCAGATTCAATCCTTGATTCCATGGTGTCAACGCTCGAAACAAAACATGTCTCAACATCTTTCAATCGTTGATTCAACATCTTTCGACCGGTCCTCCGGTGACTGAGCCATCTCCATCAGGGTCTGGTGCGCAAAAGCGTTCTTCGCCCTCCGAAATGCACAGTCGAGAGTCTGCAGTTCCTGGGTCATCTGGGCCATTGCACGAAAAGCGCCACTCAACGCCCAACGCCCAAGTAAAGGACCGGGTAACCCCAAAAGTCAACTTCTTTCAATAATTAGCAACAGAATTTGAAGCGGGACGGGGAAGGGAGGAAAGACAAAGGAGGTGGTGGAGCATCGATAAGTACAAAAGTTGATTTTAAAAATATGTGGATGTGCGCGTGAGAACGTTGTGATGTATGAGGGTGGAGCAGTTGTGTGTGCAAGAGTTGCGTGTGAGGAAGTTGTGAAATAGTTGTGTATGAGTAGGAGTATGAGTGTGAACGGGTTGTGTGTGAGAAAGTTGCGTGTAAAAGAGTTGTGTGTGAAAGAGTTGCGTGTGCAAAAGTTGTGTGAGAAAGCCGGCCTCCCAAGCGACGCGGTTGAGAGCAGGGCGGGACGTCCGGCAATCACAAGGATGCGAACTGACCGGCCAGTGCTTCTATGTGTGCCCAGCAAAGCGCATTAGCCCGCCGCCCTTGCAGTCATACTTGGTTGAGAACCAAGCGTTGGCCCCAGGCAGGCACACATGCCGCGTGATCCTGCACCTCCGGCCAACGAGGTGACAGGCGACCATAGATCGCTCTGCTTGGTGCAGGAACACATGCACAGTGACGTGAAACTACGCGATGCAAGTGCTTCTTTCCACGTTGGGTCAAAGCTACCACTGCTGCAATCATGATTGGAGAGCACCATGTTGCAAAGCAGCTAACAGCTAACAACCAGCCGCACACAGTTGATGAATAGAAAAAGGCAAAAAGCAAGTGGCAGCTGTTTCAAAGCCGACGCACCCAAAGTGAAACCGAGCATGCAGTTTGGTTACAAGGCCGTCCACTTGACGCAGCCTGAGCACATCGCACGTTGCTTTGTACCCACCGACACGACTGCCACGCAAAACGAAGGTGGATGTCGCCAAAAGCCACGCCTGCCACGCCAAAACGAAGGTCGATGTCGCCAAGCGCCACGCCTGCCACGCAAAGTGCCGCGGCGTCACGGGCGACTAACGGCGACCAAGCACGCCACCAGACCCAGCCCAGCGCCATAAGTGCCACTCCTGCCACGCCAAACGAAGGTCGATGTCACCAAGTGCCACGCCTGCCATGCCAAGCGAAGGTGGATGTCGCCACGCCCCACGCCTGCCACGCAAAGAGAATGTGGATATCTGAAAGTGCCTTGCCCGCGATGCAACTACAGCATGGATGTCACCAAGTGCCACGCCTGCCACGCAACTAAAGCATGGATGTCACCAAGTGCTACGCCTGCCATGCAAAGTGCCGCAGCGTCACCGGCGACCAGCGGTGCCCAAGTGCGCCACAGGAGCCAGCCCGGTGCCATAAGTGCCATGCCACGCAAACAAAGTGTGGATGTCTGGACGTGCCACGCCTGCCGCAGCGCCACCGGCGACCAGCGGCGCCCAAGCGCGCCACAGGAGCCAGCCCAGTGCCATAAGTGCCATGCCACGCACACAAAGTGTGGATGTCTGGAAGTGCCACGCCTGCCGCGGCATCACCGGCGACCAGCGGCACCCAAGCGCGCCACCAGAGCCAGCCCAGTGCCACAAGTGTCACGCCTGCCACGCAAACAGAGTGTGGGGATGTCTGAAAGTGCCACGCCTGCCACGCAAAACGAAGGTGGATGTCGCCAGGCAAAGTTGTGTATGTGAAAGATGGTGTGTGACAAAGTTGTGTGACACAGCGCGCACGGAAGGAGGAGGCGAGGAGGCGGACGGGATATACAGAACCAAAAAGAAGAACTCCACACACAGATGTGGGGCAAAAACATGCGTACATGAATTGTACCTGTATGTACAGGTGCAGAGACAAACATGATGTGTGATGATATGTGGTCAGTTGCATTGATTTATCTATCTGCATACACATCGTTGTTGATAAAAGTTTCTTTACCCACTTACGGCGATTCTTCGCGGTATGAAATGTTACTTTCGCGAACTTCAACTTTATCTTTGCGGGGACGCATGTGGGACGACAGTGTCTCTTCTGAAGGCTGGACTCCGTCACTACCTTCCAGATTACTTCATGATAGCCTTGTAGACATGCAGGTAGCATCGCGACAGACTCTTCCTTATTGGGTTTGTGATTGTAAAGCTCGCCGGGACACTCTTCAAAGTGCGCTTTCCCATACGCCTGTTCCTTTGTGTCATCCTTCGCGGAACTCTTGCAAACATAAACCAGCTTGTTCATATAATCTTCACAGACCTTTCGCAAATAAACATGTTGCTTTCGCGAGCTTGAAAACGCCCTGGATAGAAAAACGATACGACCGGTCATCACAATCAGCATTCCTCACAAGAACCTCTAGATCGATACCCATGTGTGTAGAGTAAACGTGTGTGTATATATATAATGTAAACTGCAATAACTAGTGACATAATGGCAGTAATATACAACCACACGCTTTATCCGGGCACATCGGAAGCTGACCCCGCTCCAAAAACGAGGAGGTGAAGAGTTGAAGAGCATTTGTCATATTTGATTTTCGTAAAATGTTGCCTTTGCGAGTTCTGTCGTGTTCCATGTGTGTCCTGCTTCCATGGTGAAGATGTGATAGTGCGGAGAAAACTGAAGGTGATGCCTGGCATGGCCAAAATGGCAAGGCAAAGCTGCAAAGCTGGGATCCCAAAAAAAGGGCAGAGATGGGCAGAGGGCCAAGTTCGCTGAGTGAGAAAAACATTTGAAGTTCTGGCAGTCTGTAGGGGGAAAAAGAAAGGGTCTTGAAGGTCCAAAGTTCCAAAAAAGAAAGCAACTTCAGTTGAAGTCGAAATCATCAAATTCAAGTTGGTGTATCCGAAATCAACGCGCGAACAATGCAAATGACAGCGTCAGTCCGAATCCAACCAAGTACAGCATAAAGCGGACCTCAAAGCAACAGCCTCAATCTGAAAGGGTCGGCACAGAATCCAGCAGTCTTCGCTTCTCCCACCCCACAGGAATCAGACCTTCATCCAAAAATGGTGTGCTTTTTGTGCATTTGCTCAGTATTGTATAGTCAACATAGTGGACTATTTGTGTTGCATAATGCTCTAAGACTCTAAGCCATGGCCCCTGAGCGATTTAAGACTTTTGCTTCTTGCCTCGATCTGGATATATCTCTTAGGCTGGTTATATAAATGCTGTGTACATATTCTTTGCTTCTTGTGAATGTTTGGCTATGCTGTCGATAATACTCTTGTTTTGAGTGTTTTGCTTTTGCACTTTAAATTTCTGACGGATTTATTTGCATAGGCATGGATGTGCTAGTGTTTGGAGAGTGTTGAACCTGTGATATCACTTTTTATATTTCAAGACTTTTGGTTGCATTGGAATGTAATGTTGCAACCAGCCACTGTGCCAAGCAAAACAAATTATCATTAATCACACATCCATTGATTGTATGACAAAGCCTAGAACATCTTTCAAGTAGACACAATATGACAGAATAGACTTTCTCTGGGAGACATGCACAAGTGGGTACCATCTAGTGATCACAGTACTGCATTGAGTAGTGGGTCCTAGAGGGTGCCTAGCGTTGCATCTGGAGCAAACTTCATACCCCTTCCAAGCGTACGCCAAATACCCTACCTACAACAAACTTGTCTGGTGTCTTCAAACAAATTGTGGTGCGTCTGTATGTTGTGAACAATCACAAGAAATCACAGGCCAAAGATGGCCAAGTATACCGAAGGTATAGGAGGGGACCGCGAAGGCATCCAAATGTGTCCCAAGGGTCCGTGTAGGGTCCATACCTGCCTTATCGCACAGATATCTTTTGCTGGCCACTGCCGAATACTAGGTGTCAAGCGTGTGCCTTGAACTTCTCCAGAAATCTCGCTGCTTCCCTGGCGGAAGGTCAAACGACAAACCAGCATACTAATCACAACGGACAATCGAGGATAGATTGAAGTTGAACATAGTGGAACATAGTTGACCATAGCTGAAAATAGTTGAACCATAGCTGAACCACAGTTGAACATAAATGAACATAGTTGAACAATGGAATGAGTGCACGGCGCAGGTGCATTAGTGTACAATAGTGTTCAGTGTGGTTTTGCCTGGACCCAGAGCTCATCCAAAAGTCCATGGTCACAACCTTGAACTGTTGAGGCTTGCATCCCGAGAACTTGGGAAATCTTGAGAATCTTACAGCGGCAATGTGTAAAAGGGGCTAACCTGGCTGATCAGTTGCAACAATCGTACTGGTTTTGACCTTGCAAGCTGAGGATTGAAGGGGCCTACTGGAAATCTTTATTCGCCCATCCCTCAGTGCCTTTCACTCTCGTAAACCTATGTTTTTCAAATCTTTTCATGTCAATGAGAGCATATTTGCTCCAGCCTCTCCACGAGGGATGTCCCAAGCAAGTTCAACCTGAGTGCAGGACCCAAGGTGCTTCGCGACTACAGGAGTCAACAGAATACATGTTGTATAATGTTATAAATTTACAATTTTTACATATATATATATCCTCTATCCGGGAACGGCCATTCTTCGCGAATTAAAAATTTCTTTCGGGAACTCCATGTTTATCCGCCGCGGAACCCATGTTGAGCAACAACTCCCCTTAAGCCCTTAAGAAGATTCATTCATCACCTGCCATTAATCACGCAAAATTATCACGGGTAACTTCTTCATAGCCTTGTATGCAGCTAGCATCACGGAGCCCCCTTCTCAGGACAAGTTGTTGCTGATTAGGCAATCTTTTGCAAGGCTTACGGGGCCACTCCCTGCAAAGCGCACTTCGACTCTCGCCCACTCTTTCGCAGAACTTTCGGGAAAATTCCTCTATCCGTAGGCCCCAGCCATCAGCAGGGGGCGCATCAAAGGAAAAGCAAACACCAGGGGCCTTGGTGTTTGGCTCTTGCAAAGCCTCACTTTTGGAAGCTTGGCTGCTGAATTTGGAGCTTGTCTCTTGAGACTTCAGAAAGCAACGTTAGGCAGTACCAGCGGCCGGTGCAAGGAGGTGCTTCAGGACCATGGTATTTGGCTCACCTTCGGAAGCTTGGCTGCTACCTATGGTGCGGTGCCATTCTGCTGCCGGACCCCGGGCGGCAGGAGGTGGTAGCTCTTAACAAGCTGCAATGTATACAATGATAATGATTCATAATATCCAACTTTCGCGAAACTTTCGCGAAAAAAATCTTTCGCGAGAGTTTCCAACATAACACGCATATCTTTCGCAATTAAAACTCCTTACAAGGACCTTTAGATCGACTTCCATATATATAATATATATATATATATATTTTTTTTCTTGCAAGTACTTTGTAATTCCATATTTCCAGCCCTGGCTGATGCCCCAGAAAAAAATGGGATGAGCGCGCGCATTGACAAGTGTTCGTGCCCAGTCTCACGAGAATCGCATATATTTAGAAAACTTTGCTCACAGCAAGCTCATTCTGTGCTCTTGCGCGCATTAGAATCATTAGAGGGAGGACAGGTAGAGCATGCGGCCTAAAATTCTGGATCTTTCGGCACTTTCCAATCCTGTGACATCTAGATTCTACATTATTGTTACATGATTTTAGATTTCACATGGCTATAAGGCTATAACATGCTATAACTAATGGATGTATCTGAGATCCACCTACGGAGCCCACTGGACAGCACCCCGCTGGTGTTCAAGTTGGTAGTCCAAAGTCATCACCGAGAGCTGCTCACACCAAAGGCGTTCATTGAAGAACATGGAAAGGCTAGACATGGCTAGACTTCCAGAACTTCCAGAACTTCAAGGCTAAAACGTGACTAAAATGTGACTAAAACATACTAAAACCTCACGTTAAACTCAGGAACTTACCATTACAGTCTGCTGTCGGCTTGATTCTATCAGCTTTTCGCCATCAAACCTGACGGGTCAAGTCTGCCAAGGAGCGAACCTATACAGTCAAAAGCAAAATGTCAAAGGATTGCTGAAAGGACTTGTGTTTGAATTCATCTGTTGTGATTGCTTTGAATCTGGTATATACTCCTTGGCAAACATCGAGAGAAACCAATACTTCCAGCACAATGTGTTCAACTCGCACCTGCTGACCAATATTGAAGGAATCTTGATGGAATCTCCCCAACCATCATTTGCCATCACCTGGCACAAAAGAAACGGCATTGATTTCAAGGCAAAGTCGTGGGGTAGGTGCGGAACGCTGTAGCAACTCGATCACTTCCAAGGTCTGAGTACAACAATAGCATGACTTGAGGCCCAGGGGCCAGGGACGAAAGCTAGCTTGGCAGGGAGCTTGGCATGAAAACACAATGGGCACAGCGCAGCTGTGCAGCTTTTGTCAACGTGGACGAGCGGGTCTGAAGCCGGGGCATGCTGGTAAGGTGAACATCCAAACCTACATATTGAGGCGATGTATTTTGAAGGGGGCGAGAATGAGAACATATGTCTATGATGTACTGTTGCACGAAGAAGAAAAGGAAATTCAGCATAGCCAACATGATGACTATATAGTGATCGGGAAAGATTCAAAGGTCCACCTTCGGCATCGGAGTGGACCTTTGGAAGCGCGGGAAGAAGTAGCGCAGTGCAAAGCCGAAGTTAAGGACGAGAGGTAGGTGTTCGTGCGCAACATGAAAATGAAGCTAGGCCAAGGTTCCATAGAGCGTAAAGTGTGAAAAGTGTAAAAATGTGAGGTGTAAAGTGTAGAGTGTGGAGTGTAAAGTGTAGAATGTGGACTGTAGAGCGTGCAGTGTGCAGTGTACAGTGTGAAGTGTAGAGTGTGGAGTGCGGAGTGTAAAGTGTAGTGTGTAGAGTGTGGGGTGTCAAGTGTAGTGTGTGGAGTTTAGTGTGTGGAGTGTAGAGTGTGGAGTGTAAAATGTAGTGTAGAGTGTCAAGTGTAAAGTTCAGAGTGTGGAGTGTAAAGTGTAGAGCGAAGTGTCAAGTGTCAAGTGTGAAGTGTAAAGTAGAGCGTAAAGTGATGTAAAGTGTAAAGTGTAGTGTGTGGAGTGTAAATTGTATATCGAGTGCGCAGTGTCATCCGTGGAGTGCAAAGTGTAGAGTGTGGAGCGTAAAGTGTATATAGAGTGCGCAGTGTCACGTGTAGAGTATAATGTGTAAAATGTAGAGTGTAGAGTTTGGAGTGTAAGTGTAGAGTGTGGGGTGTAAAGTGTAAAAGAGTAAAGTGTAGAGTGCAGAGTGTCATTCAGCATAGCCAACATGATGACCAGTGATTGGGGAAGATTCAAAGGTCCACCTTCGGCATCGGGGTGGACCTTTGGAAGCGCGGGAAGAAGTAGCGCAGTGCAAAGCCGAAGTTAAGGACGAGAGGTAGGTGTGCGTGCGCAACATGAAAATGAAGCTAGGCCAAGGTTCCATACAGGGTCAAGTGTGAAAAGTGTAAAGTTGTGAGGGTGTAAAGTGTAGAGTGTGGAGTGTAAAGTGTAGAGTGCGCAGTGCGAAGTGAAGAGTGCAATGTGTAGAGTGTGGAGTGCAAAGTGTGAAAAGTGAAGTGTAAGGTGTAAAGTGTGAAAGTGTAAAGTGTAAAGTGTAGAGTGTGTAGACTGTAAAGTGTAGTGTGTGGAGCATATAGTGTACAGTGTATAAATATAAAGTGTAAGGCGTGGAGTGTAAAGTGTAAAGTGTAGAGTGCGGAGTGCAAAGTGTATAGAGAGTGCGCAATGTCATGTGTGGAGTGTGATGTGTAGAGTGTAGAGTTTGGAGCGTGGGGTGTAAAGTGTAAAGAGTAAAGTGTAGAGTGCGGAGTGTAAAGTGTAGAGTGTGGAGTGCGTAGTGTAAAGTGTAATGCGTGAAGTGTAAAGTGTAGAGTGTGGAGTGTAAAGTGTAGTAGGGTGCCCTAGAGTGTAATGCGTAGAGTGTAGAGTGTGGAGTGCAAAATGCAAAGTGTAAAGTGTAGAGCATGGGGTGTCAAATGGAAAGTGTCGTGCAAAGTGTGGAGTGTAGAGTGTGGAGTGTAAAGTGCAAGTGCAATGTGCAAACTCTAAAGTCTAGAGTGTGGAGTGTAAAGTGTAGAGTGCGGAGTGTCAAGTGTAAAGCATGAAGTGTAAAATGTAAAGTGTAGAGTGTGGAGTGTCAAGTGTAAAGTGTAAAAAGTGAAGTGTAATGTGCAAAGGGTGGAGTGCAAAGCGTAAAGTGTAGAGTGTGGAGTGTAAAGTCTAAAGTGTAGCGTGCGGAGTGTAGAGTGTGGAGTGTAAAGTATAGAGTGTGGAGTGTAAAGTGTAGAGTGTGGAGTGTAGAGTTAGAGGGTGGAGTGTGGAGTGCCAAGTGTGGAGTGTGGGGTGTAAAGTGTGGAGCGCAAAGTTAAGAAGTTAAGAGTGCAGGGTGTGGAGTGCAAAGTGTAGAGTGGGGGGTGCAAAGGATACCGATGTTGATGTTGCTGACGGTGACCCCGGCGGGGGAAAGCCCACGGCCAAACTGCTTGTGAAGGGGAGGGGGGGAGAGGCGGGGAGGGGGGGGAGGGAGGGGGTAGTTAACTGAGAAGTTTCTCGCGATTGGAGATTCCAGCCCCCCCCAATACCTTGCTAAAGCAAGAGGGACTCCAGCTAGCAGAAGCTAGCTTTCATGAATAGATTTGAATAGATACGATGAGCAATTGCAGAAACCCCCTCTCTCTCTCTCCCTCGCTCTCGCTGCCCCTCTCTCTCTCTCTCCCCTTCAATTGTTTGGCTACCTACCTATCTTGTAATCCTTTGTGAAAGTTTATCGAGATCCGTCAGCACCGTTCCGCCCCTGCTTCTGTTGCTGTTTTGACTTTGGTTAACCAGATAGGTCAGATGTGACATGCATGTCAAAAAAAAGCACAGCGTGCACACATTCCTGATATGTTGATCCCAAAAGGCAAAGATACACGCCGGCAGCGCAGTCTTCTGAATGTCTTCTGATGTTAAAGAAGACGTCTTCCGATCAACCTCGAAGATCGGTCTATGGCAGACTTGAGCGCTCCAGGGTGTGTGCATGTTCAAACAAGACAGGAGTGCTACAATGACAGCGTTGGCTCCTTTGTCTTGGGCTATGCGAACCTGGAACAGAAGAGCGCTGAAATCAAAACCTATGCAACTCATTGCATTTCACATTGCAACTAATATTGCAAGTAATATTGAACTTAGATGAACTTATTATCAAGCCACATCAAGCCGCTGCCCTTTGCATCTTACTATGACATGATTCACCGCAGCTTGCCTTGGTCACAAAGGTACAGCGGCCTCTTCGGACAAGCAGCACTTTGACCGCTTCCTGTGGGGCATTCTTGACATGTTTTCGAAGCTGTCCACGAGGAAATAAAACCATTCAAATCCATTCAATCAGTTCAATCCGACTCCAACGCTGCTCACATGCCAACATTAGATGACAGGGCACTAAGACTTCACTAAGACTTCACTAAGAAACACAAAGAATGCATGCAGAATGCATGCAGACTTTCAAGTGGAACTCGCAGGCATCTCGGTCCAAACACGTCCTCAAATCTGTCTGAATCCAACGTGAGAACATGCACCAACTCACCAGATCTCACCAGCAAATCAAAATGGATTCGCCCTTCCAATCCTTTTCTTTTGCTTTGTAGTTCGAAGATCCCGGGAATTTCCACATAGCTTTATATAATTTATATATCTTTATATTATGTTCTATCTTTCTCTGCAAGCATCACCCACCGAATTCCCAATATGATCGCTCGAACATCCTGTGACAAACCCACCAGATCTCCTTGGGCCCTTCGAGCGTGGCGGGCAAGGTCTGAATCTTTGGAAAAGTGTAGTCGCCATGTTCACAATACTCCTGCACAGAAATGCACAGAATCCATACTAAGTGACTAAGTGACTTTCAGCGAGTCCAAGCACAGGCTTTGAAATGGCGGAAATTCTCAAGGATCTTAGGACTTCTACTCACGTAACACTGACCAAACAGTGCCAGCTGCACTAGCGTGTGACAGTGATTCGGTCTATAGATGCAGATCTTGGAAGCCTTCAGAAGAGATTGACACAAATTTACCAGGTTGCCAGCACGTAAATTATAGCTTATCACTTATCACTATATGATATCAGAGTGCATTCCAATTTCATTCTGATCCTTCCCGTTGGATTCAGCAAAAATCAGCTGTCCCACAACCTGGCAGAGTCCCGCACTGGGTCCAAAAGCACCAAACATTTCATCAAGTGTGCATCTGTTTGAATAGGAGTGTAAAGTGTAAAGTGATGCAAAGATTGATCCTGAGACAATTAGTTTACTTTATTTTGCTAATGTAAACCGCAGGTTCGACTCTCTCGCCATAGTATGGTGCCCCAAAGGTGGCAGTTGTGCCTGAGACTGGATCTGAGGAATGAAAGAGATCGAAATTGAAATCAACCTCTAGCGAGAACTGAGAACTGAGAAGAGCACCGTAGACCATCCCATGTTTGAACCTCAAACCACGCAAGTATCTTTGCTCCATATCGAATCTTGCCATTGAGCTTCTGAGTTCCTTGATTGAGAGATGATACGGAAATGATACTGACACGGGTCGGAGCCAAGTGGAGCCAAGTGGAGCCAAGCGGCTCTCTCGCCAGCGCCTTTGGCGCCAGAACTTGCAGCTGTGCATTTCCTGCCTCGACATCGCACGGCATTGCACGGCATCGCACAACTTCGCAAGAGGCGAAGTCAAAATCTTTGTACTGAGCTCTTCGAGGCTCTTCGAGGTTCCGAGGTCCCCGCACTCATCCACAGCAGCACATTCCAATGCAAAGCTCTCATACCGTCGCATGTACATGTGCAACAGAAGTGCCAAATGTATCCGAGTGTAATCTAAAGGATCTGCAAAAGATGGCTTCTTCACTCACAACTTCACTGTCATCAAGGGTGCTTGGCGACTATCTTGCCACGCTCTTGGACATTGGTTGAGGGCAGAATTGAGCGAGAGAGGACGTGTTCGTACATGTTGTAAAATGTTGTAAATATGTTTTTGATCACGCATGATCATGTAGCTTCAGAATTGAAATGAATTACAGTACAATATGTCGTCTTTTACAAAGATAACGTAGCTGTTATATGCTGTCATGCAATGTTCTGCCTACTTCGCATCATCTACAAGATGACGTAGCTGACCCAGCTTCAGCGGCACCGTAGTGGAGTTTTCACTCTCTACACTGGTCAAACTGCTTTGGAGGCATAGCAGTGTGGCGAAACAAAATAATGGATGAAAGGAAATGAAAGGATATGAAAGGAAGAACGGGACAAAGCAAATTAGGCCAAGATCATACAGGATCAAAAAGGATCAAACAAGATCAACAATGTGAAACTTCGTGGCATCTCATTGCAGCAGTCTTTTCCGATTCGTGGTGAGATGTGTGAATCCTGCACAAGTCAAGCTGGTCTTCAGCTCAATTGTCAAAAGAACACTCTGGATGTGGCTTCTCTCTGTCTCTCTGACATGGCTCTTTAGACACGACTACAACATTGCATGATATGCTGAACCTTCAGCCTGTGCGATTCAGTGAAACTACCACAGCCCGTCACTCACACTTGCAGAAACACACGCAAACACAAATAATGAACTAGTGGACCTGATATGTAGACATGCCATCACATACAAGTACCATGTTGTACCTTTCGTTGCAGAGGTGGAGTGCCGAGCGAAGCAGGGAAACCGATGGCAAAGCCAAGGTTCATGCCTTTGCTGCTAACCTCTAGGAAGGCCAGTGAGACACATGCAGCCCTCAAGTGGCTTCATGAGAGCTCATGCCGGGCTGTTTTGAAGTAAGCAAAATTCAACTCAAATAGCCTAGGCCTAGACATATCTAGACTGCCTAGATGATAGATGACAGTATGATTTCATCGGCAATCGTTTGTAACCATTCCGTCATAGAAACTCCACTGCGCCGCTCCATTTCAAGCGGCAGGTCAGGAGTCTAATGTAGCACGTTTGCCTTGGACCCCCCAGAGGCAAACAATATCAAAATATATCAATCTTCCCACATTTTCTGCTGTGCAAACACGGCATCTCCAACGAAAAGCGTATCTTGAGGATAATCATTAATAATCATTAATAATCATGAATCATAATGATTCCATTGTTTGCATCGTTTCAATCCAATTTACAAAAAAAAGTGGGTTCGAGAGTGCGAGCTCGCTCGTTCGTGCCCAGGGCATGTTCTCAACCATGGACACCACTTCAAACTTAGCATAACTTGGCACAAGCCACAAATGGATACTCTGAGAACATGTGCCCCTCTCATTTTCTCTCCCCACCCAAAGAGAACCGTCGTGTCATTTGGCCAGAAGCAACTTGTTCAACGCGGGCCATCAAGGTGAAAGCGCAGGAGATGAAGAGACTCCGCTGTTTGGAAAGAATATACTGACGCACAAAAGAAAGGGATGGCATATGATGTTGCAAAACAATGCAAAACATACATGATAAACGTGCGTGTGTGTGTGTGTGCGCGCGCGCAAGGAGCACGCCAGCATCCATGCCCCATGTCCTTAACCTATCTTAACCTTACAAGACTGACAAGGACAGGTGAGGTGAGGCAAACATAGGCAAACCACCTGCAAAGCAACTGCAAAGAGCAAGCGCAGGTCAACCTGAGTCAACCTGAGTCGGTCCTTTGTGCCGCGGTGCTAGCGGCAGCCCACAAATACTTTAAGTATCTTTAAGCCGAATGGACGGGGACTCCGATGTTTCTAACTGTCTCAATCTGAGATCGTGGACTCTTCCACTTCAGCAATTTGTCCAAGTCGTGATTCACCATGTTGATGTAAGCTTTTAGCTTGCCATTTCCGCCTTAACCAAAGATTGCGCATGCAAGACTTGTCCCAAAAGTGCTTTCAAAATCTTTCAAGCCCCGAGAAGATGCAAGAGACTGGCAAAATTCTGAGCTGTTCACGTACCATTCCCAGCACCACTCCTAGGTGCATTCGATCATGGATGAAGATCTTTGAAATTCTTTGAAAAACACCTTGGATCCTCTTTAATCATGAACCATGGACGATTGGACAATCACAGCGCTGAAAACTTGAGTCAGGAGGCTTGCAGAGTCGATCAGCTTGCGGTCTCCAATTTGCCTGCGCTTCTCAAGGATAGAGGTCATTTAGCCAAACCCGGAAAGCCGGGACCACAAAGCAAACGAAAGTATAAAAATTGAAGGAGCTCATGACTATCATAGCTTAATGCAGTTCAGAAGTAGTGGTGAAGAAGGTTGGTGACTTGTCCGATGGCTTTTCTGAGGGCATGGTCAATCCTTTTGGTCTTCTCTTTATCTGAGCCCATCTCTTATCCAGTCATATCCAGTCTGTCCAGTCTCATCCTCTCTACGATGCCATCTTCAGAGTCCTTCAGTATTCCCACATTTGAATGTGGCAACATGTGGCAACATGCGGCAACATGTCACCTGGCTAGGTCGAAATGCTGCTCCAACAGCTCCACAGACTTCTCGTGATTGCCGCGGCTGTTGTAGAGGATGCCCAAGTTTAAGCCTTGGAGACGGACCGCAGAATGATCAGTTTCATCACAAAAGCCTGTGTTAACTTTCAACATTAGAAGTATGGCTCTTGAATGCTGAATGCATTAAATGCATGTTCACTTAGTTCACTTAGTTCACTCAGTTCACTTAGTTCGCTTGGTTCACTTAGTTCTTTGATCTCCACACCCCTTCCAAGTCTTTCCCCTCTCAACCCAGTCCTACGCAGCTGTTTCTCCATCTGGTTTTCATTACACGTTTGAGTATTTCATAGTATTTTGTTGAGTCGATGTTCCTCTTCGACACTTCATTTAGACTTGACCCGCCGTTGGACAAAGTCTGATTGACTTGCAGAGCCTTGGCTGCACTAAGTCTGATTTCTATTGATTTCTCAGAAGTGCGGCTTTGTCTTCTTAGTTCCAAGTCACATGCACCAGCTTGGGCCTTGAGTTCTCCGGCTTCGCTGGCCACCTACATAAAAATGCAAAGTAAAAGAAAGAAACCCGTCGTAAAATGTCGTAAAACCGAAGGCAAAACTCTGAAAGGAAGTGTGGAGACCAGTGGAGACCCATGAACAATTTTCTTCTTTTCAAAACTTCTGTTCTGCAAAACTTTCAAAAGAAAACTGTCACGGTTGAACCGGCTGAAACAAATCCAGTCATTTGCCTTCTCAGTGAGCCATCGCAAAGCAGAGCTCCGAGAGTGCAAAGAGGAACCAAAGAGGATGAAATGTCCAAATGTCCAAAATCGATTTAAAAAAAATGACAATGTAATTATATGTAATTATCAATATATGTCAATTATGTTCAACTTAAAATTCTACATCAAAAACATATCATCAGGAATCAAGTTGCCTTCAGTGCAATGTACAAACAAACCAAACTACACCTGCAGCGGTACGATTGGAAGGTGCTCTTAAATCGTGGAACCTCGTCACCTGGTACCGCAACCTCGTTCCTTGCTATCCATGAAAACCGTCGAACACCTGGAACCGACATGAACCAGCTAAACGAATCTAAACGAGGGAAAGTGATGGAGGAATTCTGCGAGCATGGAAACCGGGGAAATCCGGGGAACACACTCCCCTCAAATACTGCAGGCCCAGCGGAAACCTCCAGACGTTTTTAACCATTGAGATCCTGTTAGATCTGTTAGATCTGTTAGGGAACCTTGTCTTTTTCTGCTAAGCCGCTCTATAGATCTCTATAGCCTGATAGCCTCACAGCTTTGCTACGGCTGAACACTCCAAACTTCCTATCTTACAGAAAGGTTTTTGGAAAGCTCACAGTCCATTGCATGTTCATATGAGACCATGCGAAGTGACCTGGCTCAAAGGGTGAGGCATTGCCCATCAGAACGACGATCATACCAGGCAGGAGCGTTCCCAAGATGTGCAATCAGGCACCATCAGGCACCATGATACCCCTGCCATCCCCTGGTCACGGTTAGTGCCTCGTTTGTATATGCGTTTTTTAACTCGTCTGTACACGCACTTTTCTGACTCGTCCTTGCACGCGAAGGTTCTCCAGTCTTAGATCATACACCTTCATTTCAATCCAACTCTACCCTTACTGCACTACTTTCAACCTTAATGAACGTTATTGGCCCTCCACCCCACCCCAACCCAACATGATCAGCGTGCAGTGCCTGTGTCTGCAAGTGAACATGAACGTTCTTGGCACCCCACCCTACCCCAACCCTAGCCCAAGACATGATGAGTGTGTACTGGCTGTGTGCGCTTGGGAACATGAACGTTCTTGGCACGGCACCCCACCCCCTGTGTGTACAGATGAATCAAAATTGTGTGCGCAGATGAGTCAAATTTATAATTAAAAGTGTGTGCACGGGTGAATCAAATCTGAGTGCGCAGATGAGTTCCTGACCCCTGTGGACTACTGTATCAATCCCACACTTGAGTTGCAAGGGTTGGCGGACGCTAGGGAAATTGAAGAGTGGAAGACACCCAGGGCGTACTAATTGACAATTTCTTTCTGGATGACCGGTTACAGAGTTGCGTTAATTGGAGTGGCAAGTTGTTGGTGTCTTGCCATGTACAGTCGGAGTTTTTTGAAGTTGCTGAGTCAACTTGTTCAATATTGGGTCGCCAAACTTCCTGGTGTTTCGTTTTTGTTTCGTGTCTCAATTTGGATTCCAACACTGAGCAAGTTCTCCAGCTGCTTGATGGCTTCTTGAGTGTCGCCTGTGGCCTGTCACGAGTCGTGGATGTCAAGCGCAAGGCTCAGGATTCGTGTCTCACAAGGACGAATGCCATCATGGTCTCAAAAGTGGCTCTCAAGGTAGGCCTTCAGAGGCGTTCTTCTCTTTTGGAGGCTTTTTGTATTCCACAGCTATCCTCATGCCCTTTTGTGTGGCAAAGTGCCAAAGACAAAATCCAAGAACTCTTGCCTCATAGGCCTGCGCCAACGCAGCTCGAGCTGCACTTTCTCCAACCCGATCATCCTGGATCCTGGAAAGTGAAACACGTCCATGACAAGTCCAGGTTCGGACACGAGCTCCGCAGCACAAGTACGAGTACTAGACTCCCATTGTACTTGTCCTACTGCCTAGGCTTCTGCCCAACAAAACACTTTAAAGTTGGGAAAACATGCAAGTTCCAGGTGACAAAAAATAGGGGAAATCAATGAACATCATGTGTGTGTAAGTATGTATAAAAAATAAATAAATTCACAAAATAAATGTATAATAATGTATATTATAGGGAGAGAGACATGCGGGTGCAACATTCATACTCGGTGCCAAGTCACTTTCATGATTTGTGCTCACCAAATCTTTCCAATTGAACCATGGATGAAACATGATGAAACCAGGGCCTGCCAGACTGGATAAACCTGCTGAAGCAGAATAGTAGGATAACATAACAATCAGAGAATAATCTAACGCTATGACCCAGATCAGCCCATGGATCATGATCAGACATAAACGGATGATAAGGTCCAGCTGAAGCCATCCGCTCCCAAGAGTACCAAGCCCATCAAGCCCTCACGCGACCCGTGGGCCCACTGTCATTCGGCTTTTTGTTTTTTGGAATGATTTTGAAATAGCTTGAGATAGTTTAAGACAGTTTAAGATAATTTAAGATAGTTTACACTGGGCTGAATAGATGGCGCATAAAAAAAATAAAGGACCAGATAACCCCACATGTCAAGCCTCTCGACTGTTATGGGAAGAAGGTGATTACTTGGGATGGTGGGAGCGGATGATAATTATTGGACGGGGAAGAGATAGGTAGATAGATAATGATATATAGACAAACAGACAGACAAACGGGCAGGCAGACAGGCAGACAGCATTTACACAGGGAAGCCTTTACGCAGAGCAGTTTTTGCACACAGAAGCATTTACACAGAGAAACCTTTACACGCAGAAGCTTTTACACACAGATGCTTTTACACACAGATGCTTTTACACACAGATGCTTTTACACACAGATGCTTTTGCACACAAACACATTTACACACACAGAAGCTTTTACACAGGGAAGCCTGTACACCAAGCAGTTTTTACACACAGAAGTATTTACACAGAGAAGCCTTTACACACAATCCAATATCAGGGCGGAATAAAGATAAAAATAGTATAAATATGTATAAATTATCTATATAAGTGGATTTGGTTGGACTCAAAGCAGTGCTCCTGCATATATCGAGGTACTGCTTTTGTAGCTCAACTGCTTGCCTTAATCCAGCATCAAGATGTGTGAAGCGCGGGTGCTGAACCCATCAATTGCAATCCGTATGTAGCAATCTTACTGTAGTGACATCGGCTAGAAACCACTCGTTTGCACACCAAGGAGCTCATAGTTCCCGGTCTTGTGCTTTGACAAGCCCAGCCTTAAAAAAATGCGCAATTGCTGCACAAGTGCACAAAAAATATGATGTGATATGATGTGTTGCATTGACAACTTCTACAACATATCTAAAATATCACAAAATGAGAGCTCCTGGCCGGAGTTTGGGTGTGTTTCTCCTCAATCTTTGAATATTCCGGTCTTCAAAATTCAAGAGGGTAGACTAAGGTGTGAACCCTTGTGAAGACGCACAACAAAAGACAAAAGTAAAAACAATACGTGAGATGCTTTGAAGCCGATTGTTACTGTTCGTTGCCAAGGGGCTTATGACATGCAGAGCCTTCCAGTGCAGCGTCCTTCGAAAGCTGGGCGCTGCTTAAGCACCGTTCATAGAGCTGCACAGCTTCCGCATCATGACCGTCCTGCGAAGCGAGCAGAAGATGCAGAAAATGAAACAACAAAGCGACAACAAACGAACAGGAACAAAGAAAAATAATAACCACAAGAACAACCACAAGAACAACATCGCTTCCCTATGCTCATCTTGGTTCTAGCTCAAGATGTATTGTGCGTACACTACAAATATCTTCAGATCGTGCCCTCTTACTCAAGCCTCGTGGCAGCACAAAATGGAAATTGCAATCGGTGTAAAGCGAGAACACTACACATGTTGAGAGACAAGGAGACTGGGCTCCAGTACAGCGAGCTAATTTTCACATGGCTGCGAAATAGCACAGCAGAGTGGCAGAATGTGGCAGCATGTGGTGTGGCCGTATGTGGCCGTCCTTCTCACACTGCTCTGCCAGGACTTGGCAGACTGTCGTGAGGCGACTGGCTGCTTTGATCTGTAAAGGCAAAGAGTCTGCTGAGGTGGCGATCCTCGGAGACATTCCCAGAGCCACCAGAACTATTTTAGCACACCTACACATCTACAATTTGTCTACAATCATCTACAGCACACTGAGCACGCGAACGCGAACACACATATGTGGGCACGGCTTGACAGCGGTCATATCATTCTGCACCAGCATGAGTACAATGTCATACAATATCATCCAATGTCAATAGAAACTGTAAACTTCAACTGTCCCATAAAGCATCATGACATTACATTGTATGACATGGCATCACAAAGCATTACAGGTAGTATTGTTAGTGTTTGAAGGATCCCGGTCCCAGAGCCCCGTGGATGCTCTGAAACTCTAAGCTGCGCAAAGCATTGCACACAGAACCTTGCTCTCCGAGATTCTCCAAGGCCTTCTCGTGGTATTGCATAGCGCTTTGCCAGTTTCCTCCCTGTTCCTCTTCGGCAGAGCTGGAATCAAGAATTGCACAGTTTGATGATGTTTGATGGAAAAAAAGATATTTGGAGCATGCGAGGCACTCTGGGATGGGTGTCATGGGGTATCCGTCCTCGCAGCTTCCGAGATTGAGGTTGGCCTTGGCGATGCTCTCCCATGCATCCACCTCAAACATTTGGAGTTGGCATATTTGCCATGCTAACTTAAAAAGCAAATGCAAGAGAGCACAGAAAATCACTCAAAACCACAGGGTTACTATTCAACAGGGTCACTATTCAATGACGTTACCTTCAAAACACACCCCGAAACATTCAAAAAGCTTCCAAAACATTCAAAAACTTCAAAAAACATTTCAAATAGATTCAAAACAATCCATAACATTCCAGAAAATTCCAAACAAACACTAGCCCAAAAGGACCAAAATAATTCCAAAAAACGATTCATTCCAAGAAAAACTGAAAAAATCATTCAAACAAATCCAACACATACCAAACTCAAGTCGGAAATGATATGAAGGTTTTGGAATGTTTTGAATGATTCAATGATAGTCTGACATCAGAGAATGATTGCTATTGCCCCTATTGAATGATGACCCTATCCTCATTAAAGAGAAAACACGTTTGAAGATTGGCAACCCATAACAAACTCAATTATGTTTAACATGTCCATTTGATGTCTGACAATCTTCAGATGTCCCATATCGTTTTTAACGCTGTTTTTTTCTGAAGGTTTCTTTTGAGTATCAGATCTCGACATGTTTGGTGTTCTGAACATGTTTGTCGTTGCCTAACGTCATTGCAGTATTATCGGTTGAACATGCTTGAAATTGAAATAGTGTTCTTTTTCTTCTATGCTTATTTTGTCAATTTTTTCTTTCCTGAGTCATGATACTGGGTGTTCCGGCTTTAAAACCTACTTCCAAGATTGTCACATCCTGTGAATGCCAGTAACTAGATAGTAGAATTCAACTGAATCTCGTAGTTTCGTGCTATTCTATTTCCATCCAGGAACATCTATGTGTATGTGGAATATAAAAATGATAAATATTGATAAATAATATGTAGAATACAAGTCTTTCTTCACACAAAAGACCAGGACTGCTGCTAGGTAAAGGCATCATGGAGAGATGTCATTTTCGAATCAGCACAGAAGCAATGGTGAAAGTCATCCGAAACAGTTTGTCAGAAAATACAATGATGTGCTCTAAGCTTTGACCAAAAGATGTACCTCTGCCGCCACATCTGCGCATCTTTGATAGAAATACCTTGGCCAGCCAAGGTCCATTAGGTTAGAGTAGGCAAGGGATTGATTCGGCTTCACAGGGTTACTGAGTGATAGTATCGCAAATGAACTTACCACTTGCCACTGACAGCTGCTACTGCCTGCCTACCAAGCCTCAAGTCAAACAGAAACCAGCTTTTCAAGTGCTTCATGCAAGTGAGGTATGCAAATCTCTCAATGTGTCAAAGGCACCAAGCACGACTGAAGCATGACCGAAGCACGACCGGAGCACGACCGAAATCAACCAACCAAACGCAGAGCAAACGCGTCTGAGGAAGACTTGACTCAAAATTGCTGCAGAGCTGCATGGCGCTCTTCAGGTCCGGCACCTTCTCAAAGAATTCGGCCAAAGAGTTGTAGCTTTCATAGCCTTGACAGTTGGGAAACTCATTGGCCTCTCATTTGCATGCACATGCAAATATCATCAAAACCCGTAGGCAATCAGAATCTTTCTGCAGCTGTTCAGAGTTTCGTAACCCAAACCCGCATTTCGTCAAGAAGCACTGCAGGTAGCTCCGAAGCCGCCGGGCAGACTCTGCTTGTTCCAGAGTCTCCTCAGCGAACGCTATTCAAGCCGATTGTGTTTGACTCATTCTGAGTCATTGTGAATCTAGTTAAGTGGATGCGGTTGTATCAAAATAAATCAAAATAGATCTTCAACTTCCACCTCTGTGCTGGCCCTTCGAGTCCAATGACAAACGTGGCTTTACACCAAGCAACCTTTAATGTCTCAAAGGGGTCTCTAGCTCTCAATACGAAATGCCTCACTCCACATCCCTGCTATGAATACTTTCAAACTCCTTGGACAGCCAAAGACAAGTGATGGTCCGTACATGCGGCACGCGCGCCTTTAGAAAAATTAATGTCTCCTCTGGTATGACAACATCTTTCACCTCGCAGGATTGAAACGAACAAAACCGAGTAAAACAAGAAGACTCACAAACAGATCAAGACACAAAACATCACAAAACCATACAAGTAAATACATTAAATATCACTAAATGCAATAGATACACTGCTTTGAATCGAAATACCGCCTCATCTTCTGAAGCAGGAGCGCCCTCTTTGGGAGCAGCTTTCCGATGTGTGATGTAAAAAAAGTCCACGTAGGACTGGACACAGCCTTGGGTAGGTCAAAATGCTACGCATGGCTATGCTGAATTGTCACGAAACGGTCTGTGTGTGAAAAACGTTTGTTGGGAAGTCCTTGTCAACATACCAGAGCCATGGAGAAGCTGTGATTGCAACACTTTTCGTTTTTTTTGCATTTTGACATATTTTGAGATGCCTGGCACGAAGTCGCTGAGGTCTTTCAGGTTTCATGGCAGGTGTACTTTTCAAGCTGAATATTTTGGAAAAACGTATGCACAAAAGATAATAACAAACCGTATCCGTCCTCCAAGCATCATGCTAGCACAAAGCACCGCAGCACAAGGCACACCTCTAGTCCTCCACTCCATTTTCTCTTTGGAGGCTTTGATGACAGCAATTTTGTAGCAGCTGAGCAGATAGGGTCTTTTTCTCCGGATAAATTAATTAAGAGTAAGAGAGTTGACTGTTCCTAAGTTGTGGGTTTCCAGACTTCCGACAATATGTGTTACAATGTGTTTGCCTCCGTCGAAATGGTTCTACACATATCCCAATAGGCCATAACCTGGAAGCATGAACGAAACAAAGAGTTTTCCTGTATCCACGTGTTACAACTGGAACATACCCGGCTTATACCCTGTAAGGGTCGTACCGATACAGGAGTAAATTGAGCTTCGGGCACTGATACTTAGTCTGGGCCAAGGCACAAGCAAATACCTAAATATAGTAGGAATTCTTGACAAAATAGTTCAAAGATATTCAGAGTTGAGACTTGGGAGGGAGCAGGGCAAACAAATTGTTTGAATTTTTGGATACGATTTGTTGCGGGACGTAGGGCCAACAGTTGAGTCTACTTCTGCTGGTACATTCAAGGCTCACAAGAGATACAAGAGATGCATAGTGTGCATTTCTTGTTAATAGAAATGCAGGATTGATGAAACGAGGCCTCCTTTCTATCTTTAATTATCTTTGCTCATCCTCGAAGGGTTTGTGGAACCAGCTCCAGCCAAGTTGGCTTCCGCAGATCAGGGCACCTTTTCAAGCCCATATTTGCGTCTCCCATTCTTGTCATTCGGGGTGAGCTTCCAATCCTATCCACATCCTAGAACCCCATAGAATCCCATAGAATCCCTAGATATCCTGGATACTGTCTAGGCTTCCACCAGGCTGCTCTTTTGCCGACCAAGAACCAACCATCAGCAAATCGATGCACAGCTGTTGCTTGTCCAAACCCTTCACCTTGCATCGGTAGATTCGTCTCCGATCATCAGCTATATGCATTCATTGAACTCTCCAAGCTTTGGACGAGTCACGAGTGATGAAAAAAGTTTCTTGGGGTTTCACATACGATTTCTTGGCACTAGCTGAAGTTATCCTATTGTTTGCCCATCCATGTGTCATGTGTGTTGACATAAAGCTTGCTGTGCAAAGCTTCAGGCAAGGGTACTCGTGTGAATCACTGAATACCTCGAACATTGAGAATTGATGAGAATTGACACGTTTTTTTTCCTGCCGCTGCATTCGCTAACATCAGGAACACCTTTGGCCGTTGCCTGCCTTGATTAATCTGTCATCCTTGATTTCTGGCTTTTGACTGTTTGGATCTGCTACAACCTGAGCGAAGGACAAGCAGTGATGCGAGAGAATCAACTGGAAACAACTGGAAGCTGCGGTTCAGAAGTCACTGCGGCTTTGCATTGGCTTTGCATTGGCTTTGCATTGGCTTTGCATTGGCTTTGCATTGGCTTTGCATTGGCTTTGCATTGGGTTTGCATTGGGTTTGCATGTTTTTTTCAGGTCTGACCTCCTCTGCAACTTGCAAAGCCTCCACCGCCTCCTGCCAAAGGAAGCTGCGACATCTGCGACGATAGAAATTAAAACCATCGAGACAGGAGACATAGTGGAGAGTAAGATGCGTGTTTTGCGTGTTTGATGTGTTTGTTTTTTTGATATATTTGGCATAGGTGAACGCTTAGGTACCGGCACTACTGGGTGGGAACATCTGCAGCTCAAAACTAGATAAAACATGACAGAACTAGCACGTCCTAGCATGTCCTTTCTACGAGCTTGACTCCACCTTCGAGTGGGTTCATTCTCGACTAGAGAAGTAGAAAACCATTATCCTTGCGCTATGGGTTTGATTTTTCGTTGGAAAATGAAAGGCGTGCCATTGGCTAAGCATGCCATCCCATGACTTTCCAGGTTTGTATCATTTTCATTCGTTTTGATTCATGGTCTATCATGTTCTATCTATGTCACAGCATTCATCTATGTTTTCCTCTACTTCTATTAATATACTGTATCTGCTTGCTTTCACATCCGGAGTCTGCGCCACGTCCCGACACCCATCACATAATCCGGAATGCCTCTGGATTGGCCTCCTCAAGTGGCTTCTCTAGGGAGGCTGCCGCCTGACTCAAATTCAAAAGTGAAGATGAACTCTGGTCTGGAAATGTCTGGAAACTCAAATGCAAACAGTGCAACGCACAAATAGATGCTGAAAGAAAACGACTGTTCTGAACTGCCCTGCAAAGAGCTACTTTCGGGTTCGTCCATGTTTGTGTGGGTTTGCGGGCTTGCACCACAGCATGCCACTGTCCCTACAGGGAACCCAACTGGCAACAAATGCACCCTGCGATCGAAAGATATCGAAAGAAAAGCAAAGCCATCAGGGCCATCATTGATCTTTCTGCAAAATAAGGACTTGCAACATCTTGCAACGAAGGCAAGGTTGCAAACATCATAGACGGGAAAAGGCTCAAGAGGTGTTTGAGAAATCGCTTCAAAAGGCTGCCACGAAAGCTGCACATGCCACACTACATGAAGTACTACAGGGCTTTGGCAAGAACAGGGAGACATTGGAGACACAAAGACAAATGAAGCCGATGCCGCAAAAGAATGCAACGACCAGAGAAACGTGGGCCCGAAAAGGCATGCACGGCATGTACTTGAGCACACATGAACAATAAACCGTTATAAACCCCTCTTCTCCAACAAGTTCTCGACCCATTCGACCCTTGACAAGGCCCTGTTTGTTCTCGGATTCCTCCTCCTAGAATCTCTTAGAAATGAGATGGGCCTTCTAAGAGCCAACAGCTATCTACAGATATCGAAAGGACCCAATCACAATATCAAAATGTATCAAGTAATTGTCCTGAATAGAGCCATTGCATGCGTCCTACAATAGCGGTGAAGCATGGAGGCAAAAAGTCACTTGATACGATTCAAAGCGGATTGAAATGGGAACTTTTGACATCGGCAACAGAACGCAACCGCACCTCCTCAGCCATGCCGAATGCTCTTATTCTTTCAAATTCAACTTGTCCAAGACAGAATTCAGCATCAATGAGTCAGCATCTTCTCCACTCGAAGTGCAAGGACTGCAAATATCATTTGAGCTGGCATATTGGCATTGAGGGGAACATGTGTACAAATATGCAGAATTGTACGAATGCTTTGTCTTTCATTCTTGATCATTCTTGAATAGAGGTTTTGACAGCTATGATCTTGGTCGGTTCCTGCTCAATTAAAATGTGCGTCTCAAGTCTACTCGAGCCGACGAGGGATGCAAACACTGAACAGAGTTGCAAGCTCACCTCACAGAAAAGAGAGGGAAAAGCAGTGTAAGCGAAGACTCAAATGCTGTAGGAACAATGATGGGATAAGAGCGCGATGAAGTACTGAAAACTCAAAGCTGAAGTGGAAAGAAGTGAAGAGCTGCCGTTCCAGAGCACTTTGCACGAGGAAAATGGACGAGACAGACTGAGACCAACTGAGACCCATAAGAACCCCACTGAGAACCCACAAGAACTGAGACACAAAAGTTACAACTGCCACTTCTTCCATTCTGCTTTGCCAAGTTTTGTTCTTTCCGGTCTTGCGTCTAGAGCTCCAAAGATTGGCACGAAGCTTGGCAAAACAGTGCCATCGGCTGACTGGAACAAATCGCTTTGGGAAAGAACAAATCCCTTCTCAAGCGCTCAAGAAGCACAAAAGCACACAATATGTCTATGTCATTCTATGTCTGTGTTCTTCCAGCCTTTTGAAAACAAAAACTATCTGTGCATGTATAATGTATATATTGTATAAAAACTGAATAAATACGTAAATCTGGATATGTACACAAACACACATCCTGGTATAATATATCTTTACAAATGTCTAGAGGATGTCGAGAATGTGAGCAACCACCATTTTCAAGTGGTTCCAACCTGTTCCATGAGCAAGTTTGGCAGCCTCTCCACTTGGAGGTTGCTGTTTTGGCAGGTCATGCCTCTTCAGTGCTGGTCAGCCCGTTGCTGGTATTCCATATGAACAGAACAGCACCTCAGAACATTTAACGTGGCATCAAACCAAATGCTTAAAGATCTTGAAGAAAATACATGAAGGATCCAGGGAAAGCAATGGCAAGTCAACACTGCCTGATTCGGGGAATGCCCAGCTGTACAAGTCGCACTGACCCTTGCTCTTGCGGCTCTTGCGAGTGCAGCTTAGCACCACCTGACAAAGGGGTGGCTGCTGAGATGTGTAGCTGGATAGGAGAACAATCAGCACTTCAGCCAGGCCAGAAATCATACGTGGCGTATAGAAACATATTCAGTTTCTGCTACCTACATAAATATATATATATATATACAATGTACGGTATAATTAATAACAGTAATATACAGTAATAACAATAATAATAATAACTAGTTATTATTATATATTTGTTGTTATTGTTACTATTACATACTATTACTATTATTATTATATAATCTTATATATTACATTTATATTGTATATTATTTAAATTTATATATTTCTATTGATATTGCAATATAGACATACAATCAAATACATTTTCACAGCACACTTGATCTATATCTACTTGAATTGCATTTCTCGAACATGCAGAACCTTGCATATGGGTTCAAATTCGAGACGATCCATGGATTCGTTGAAGCTTGGCCTGTCTCTCTTTGTAAGCAAAGCATTTGGCTCTGACAGTCGGGGTGTCCCAAGCTTTCAGCCGCGAGACACCCCATTTGCCCGCTGAAAATTGTCCTGAACCGGCTCAAGATCATCAGCAATAGCAGTTCGTGCAGACCTGAGCGAACAGGAAACTCTTAGAGAGTGAAAAAAAACAACCTGCTACTTCAGCAGATCCGAGCAGAACTGGAAGTGTGTTCACTGTACTGGGCTGCACAGTGGATGCGTGTACAAGGTGCAAAAGTGATCTCGAAGTGATCTCGGAGTGATCTCGAAGTGATCTCGAAGTGATCTCGAAGTGGCACATTGGATTTCTTGACCAAGTTGATAAGCTCCAGGCTGGATGGTGTCTATGGAGTCCCTTCCCTCAGACGATTCTGCTCAAAAGATTACAAGACTGCTGCAAGACCCTGCAGTTTGGAATCTATTTTTTGGCCACATCTTCAATGGTGCACACTGTTTGGCGTCTGTACTTCGATCATGACATCCGTGGTTGGCATAAAGTCATGCAGTCAAAAGTCTGCATCACACCTTACAAGAACCTACAAACGAAGCTCACAAGAAAGTCAATTGGACAAATCAACACACGACACAAAATGGGAAAATTCAACGGGTCTTCGATCGGAAAGGTTTTTGGCCTCAGAAATCTTAAGCAACTTGGGGTAAGACTACCAGCAAGACAATTGCCACTCAGACTAGCAGAACTATGCAGAATTGATTGGTCATTGTACAACCACATTGAACACGGGCAATTTTCGGACAATCCCATGCTATTGACCCTCCTGAAGGCCTTGAAAATCATTCTTGACAGTGTGTTGCTCAGCGGAAGTCATACAATTCCAATTCGAAGGATTCTAGTGGATTTTGAATTCTTGTGTTCGTAGGTTCTCTCAATGTAATTTGACGTTGAATTGCCCGGGAATTGTTTATTTAAGATTGTTTATATCGTTAAGAATTTGAGAACGTTGCCCTTGTTCCTTCCAAGTTTTGAGACTGAGCTTTGAGATTTCTGGGGATGTGATTCTTGTCACGTGCAGTGGTGTTTGTGATCCCTGTGCGGCAACTGTTTTTGAGTCGAGCCCTGGCTTTCTCAGCTTTGTGGCGTTGCTCTCTTGGTCCTTCTCTTTTGTGCTCCAACTTGGACCTAAGTTGGGCCTGTTCGTGCGGAAACGCACATTTTCCGTGTTTCTTAGTGCTTCCTGCATATTTTGGCCTCGCAATGTTCCTACTGCTGGGCCAAGTTGGGCCAAAGTTGCCGTCAAGCCAACATGTGCGTAAGACGGGCTTAGGTTGGGGTCAACTTGGGTCAACTTGGGCCACTTAGCTTCAACTTGGACTCAAGTTGGCCCTGTTTAGAGGGCAACTTCAGCCCCAAGTTCAACACGGGCCCAACCTGGGAACCGGCTGAAAACGCGAGTTTCTGCTGGTATTTCCTGTTCTCTGGCATGGAGGAGGTTCGTGCTCGGCCATGTCCCCCGTGCCAAGTCCATGTTGGACCCAGCTTGGGCCCAACATGGTGGACGGCGTTCGCTGCGGAGCGAAGGAATACTACCGCTTGCTACCACCATTTCTTTTTCAACATTTGCTCTGCTCGTCAGACAAACGTGTGCGCGAAGGTGTGGGAAACTTCCTCTTGTACTGTACTTGTTCCGATGCCGGCCGCGAGGAGAAAAAGAAGAAGAGCAATCGGTGAGTGCTACGCCAGATTCCGTGCTCTCGGCTAGATTCTAAGCTGTACTTTCTGAGTCTTGAGAGGATGTTCATTTTGGAAAGAAATGCCAAGATGTAAATAAAAGTAACAATGAATTGAAATAACATGAAATCAAGAAACTGACCGCAGTGTGCAGAAGCTCTTACGTGTTTAGCATGATCCTGCGAGGCATTGAGTAGTTTCATGTATATAATATAATTTATATTAATTTATATATAATTGTGTAATACAATATAAACTTGATTGCATATTGTTATACTCTCATTTTGGATGTACGAGTACCCTGCTCTGCAGCGACGTTGTGACACTATAAACGCTGATGCCGTCAGGATATAATAATGTTGGGTTTGACTGTTTGAGGCATTGGCATTGTCTGCGATGTGCTCTCGAATGATCTGCGCAAGATTCTTGACCTCAGGTGCTTCTCTGACACGTGCTGACCTGTTGAACTTTGGAAGCCATGACACCATACAAGCTGGTTCTGCAGGAGAGATAAAGCTTCTTAACTTGATAAGTGCACTGGTTAGTTTCATGGAAAGAACGGCATCAATCAACCTGAAAGAGACACGTTCTTCAACTTTTTCCTGTTGAGAACAGAAGCAGTGCAGATAGCTCATGAAGCATGACGTGTCTTATCTAAATTTTGATGACTCTGAACCACTTCAGGAAGAACATGGATAGAAAAACTTGTTTAGAAGTTTAGAACGTACTTATCAAGTCACCGCTGATTGCGGCACTGGCAGTCTTGGGTCTGCGGACCCAATGATCTTGGCTGTTCAAACACGGAATAACAACCTCAATGCTGCCAGAAGCAAAAGGAAGGGGAGGAAGAGTGTGCCAAAGTGAATCTGTCAATCCTATTGCAATCGACCCTAGCTGTAGTACGTGCAACATCGTGCAACATCGTGCAACATGATGAGTGATGAACATATAAAGTTCCTCAATTGCACTGACATGACCGACAAATGACCGACGTACAGTGATGTGAGTGATGTGAAGTTCAGTCTGAAATGGAAGGTCCAAATTCGCCAAGGAGATCCATGTCTTGAAAGTCTGGTCTCTACTGTTCTGTGGCTCATGGCGAGTTCTTCCCCTCCAGCTTCTTGGAATTCCTCTTGGCCAGTTATGCCAAGCTCCTGACCATGTAAAAAGCAACACGTGTTCAGCATTGTGCATCGTTGTGCATCATTTTGCAGCGTTGTTCACTGATTCATTCCTGAAATGCAAAAGGATTCACAGGACATGTTTGTCCTCCAGAGTCTCGACACAGTCGGCAGTGAAGGATGGGGCTACCACTGCCAGTTTCTTCCTGTGACAAATCATTACAGATCATAAATTCATATAAATTCTCAATTCATCTTCTTTGGTTTCCCGGCTTTTCTGCGAACTCTCTCTGGACTCTGGATCTTGATCGTCTGACTGCTGAGCCCTCGACACTCCCTTCTTCGCCAACTCCACAAATGCCTTCGGAGAGATTGCCATCTTTTTGCATTCTCACTCCCGCTGATTGCTTTCTTGTATAAGCATAATTCTTTGAAACTATTCGAACACCCGTTTTGAAGCAAAACATGCTTTGGGCTTGGCAAGGAAAAGAACACTGGAATTTCTTTGCCTGGATCCTATCAATTCCTTATCAGAGAGCTTCTTTGAACAAAAACTGACAAAAGATGACAAAAGTGTCCAAACATCATCTTTGTTCTGCAAACCCATGCACAACATGGCTTATGTTGCACAATATCCAACAAGTTTAAACTGCAAAGTCTCTTACAACAGGTTTTGTGAAGAGTTTGGCTCTTCAGGGTCTCGCATACAAACACCCATGATCGAATTGTTCTAGCTGGCATTGAACCTAATCTCTTGGCACAAATTTGGATAGTGCCCGGTTAAAGCAATTGGGGCAGGATGGGTCTGTCACCGTGCTTCCTGCCTCGTCAGTGTAGGGCTTGATCCACCTTTAGTAACAGAGTGGCATTTTTCGCAACACGATAACGCCTGGAAGAAAGCTACACATGTTACAACAATGAACCGGTTGAGCACAGCCGGATTATTCTGAAACCAGCTGAGTAAGTCGCGCGATAGTATCGCGGAGAGTCAAACGGCTCTGAAAACCAATCGACCTAGGGAGCAGCGCGGAGACTGCGATTGATATGCAGGTCTTTCAGCACTGCTCCACACAAACTGGGCTCAAAACCAACGGCCTTCTTCCAAACCCAACTCGTATGCCAACCTGGTGAATCAAGCCCCAGAAAGGCCAGGTGTAGCCATTAATGCCAAGAATGCCAAGGACCCAATCAAGATTCAAGATTCAAAAAGACCGAGACAATGTGACAAGGTTTTTTTAACGCAGAAATGGGCTTTTGTATGTCGCTGTTATATTTTGAAGTTGGCCGACGGGTGTCTGTGTCATATGCGGCCCAAATAACAGAGGTGCGTACGGTGCGCGTCTGAGTCTCACAGTATGTCATAATGATCCAAAAGATGTCAAAAACGCGTATTGGCATTAATATTGCAAAATATTGCGAGACAAGTGGCAGGCGAGCCGTCTCGAAGCATTGAGCTCGGTAGCAGTTCCTGCAACTCTGATCTGTTTCTTCCCGGCAGTACCGAGCTGCTACTGCACCACAACCTACTGCTTTATTAAGTATAGAGCTTTAAGCAATGCTTTATGTAAAGAGTTGCAAAACTTCAGGATTTATTACGCTGTGTGAAAGTATCTTCAAGTATTACATGGTGTCCGGCATGGGTGTTGCTGTTGGCAAATCCCCAACTCAGCAAAACGCCAGTTTCATTGCTTCAACTGCGCTCAGATCCCTTTTTCCAAGCCTGAACACGGAGTAACACGGAAAAAAAAACAGAAACCAACGAGCACACGGAGAACACCCCCTGCAATCTCGGCAGCACACTTCGTTCTTATCGACAAGGCATGACAAGGCAAGGCAAGCAGACAAGAGAGAAGATCAGGGAAAATGAGAGAAGGGAGAGTGAGATGGAACAAAGATATGAACAAAGTGACATAAAGGGTGACAAAGGGAGGAGAGAAGCAACCTCCTGACAGGATGTTTGATATGTGTGATGATGTGTCATGAAGGTCTCAGATTCAGAGCTGTGTCACTCCTGTTGTCTGTGTTGAGCATGCGGCAGCAGTCTGAACCTGCACGCTCAGGATACAAAGAACAAACTGCAATCGGCGGCAATCGGTAAGGATTGAACATATCTCTGCTGAAACTGCAGACACGAATTGGCACAAGCATGCACAAGCCAAACAAACATGACAAAGTCGATCAATGCCAATCGTTCCCATAAGTGTTCCAATTCACTTTCAGTACATGACAAATGACGTTGGCATACGTTGGCCCTGTCTGGCGCACTCTTATTGCAGAAGTTGCCAGTGATGTCCGTCCGAGAGCATTGATCCTGCAAGACCGGATATTCAAAATCGATAAACCCAGCTTGCTTTACGGCTTTATCATCGTTTTGACTGAGCCCAGTCGTGAGTCACAACATTGAACAGGTTTGAGTACGTTTCGAAGTAATGAAACTTTCAAATTTCCCTCCTTCGACTCTTTCAAAACGTTTGCTCCTGCTGCGATTCTTGCTGCTCTGCCAGCTGACCCTCAAGAAAAACATTACAGGTCCTCTGGGACTCCGTGGAAACTGAAGAGCGTATGTTCTACGTTCTTCCCCTGCACAGCATGTTCCAAGCAGCTTGTCGCCGAGACGAGGACAGCAAAAGTTGATGCAGAAATTGAAACGATAGAAAATAATGTAGAAAATAATGGAAAGATATGGAAAGAGAGGAAATGCAAGGCACCCGCAAAATCACGAAGTGGATGGGCAAAAATGGGCAAAGATGCCAAGTGAGCGCCAAGTCACTCGTTCACCAATGGTCTCGAGGATCTGTTTCTTCATTGCTGCCACGTAGAGCCGGTGGCCTCATGCAGTTGGAACATGTTGGAACATGTTGGAACATGTTGGAACATGTTGGAACATGTTGGAACATGTTGGAACATGTTGGAACATGCTCAAAACATCCCAAAGTGCAACCAGAACCACAAAATTCGGGGCAAGGCAAAGCAAGCCAGGACTGGGACTGCAAAGGACTATCAGACTTCATGGACCGCAGGAAGCAGGTGCATTCACGGATTAAGAGACGGCTGTACGAACAAAGAATGGACAAAAAGTAGACAGTTGAATGCTCAAGAACAGTCCATGTTGCACTTTGAGACACAATATGATTCAATATGATGAAGTGAGATAAAACATGATGATAAAACATGATAAAACGAGACTTTGCCTGAGGACTGGGGACCAAGAAATGGAAATGCAAGAGCTGCACTGAGCTGCAAGAGTCTCTGAGTATGTTGAGGCTTTCTCAGCTTGAGGCCATAGAATGGAGGAAGCACTGAGAGAAATGGTGTGCAGTACCTGCAACATGCTCTGTAGGCTTCTGCAAACAAGAACGAACACGAATACAAACGCTGTCTTACGGTCCTTCCACAACCTTTAGTGCGAATCACCAATGCCCACCGAATCTGGCAATCTCTATCATGAAGCGCTTGTAGTTAGTGCTAGTTAGGAAAAGATGAAGCAACGTGACATGCCCACATGATCCGACATGATGAAGCGACATGAAGCGACATGAAGCGACATGAAGCGACATGAAGCGACATGAAGCGACATGAAGCGACATGAAGCGACACGACATGGTTGAACCATGTTGAACCAATGCCCATGCAGCATGCATCAAGCGTCAAATGCCACGGCGCACAAATCAGCAGAAGTGCGGTAGGCACCGGCCAGGCAGCTGCCGGTGGTACCAGATGCATAGTGCGGGAACATCGGAACCAGGACTGGCAAGATGAAATGCTTCACGAAGGAAAAACTGTTGCCATTCAAAGCTGTGAATATCTGAGTCTGACGACCAAACAAAGCATTCAGTGAAAAGCCGAAACAGCAGGATTGATAATGCTCGGGCAAGCTTGGCAGGACACTTGGGCATTCTGAGAACCTTTTGGACCTATGGCCGCTACACCCTCGCTGTCCTGGAACGCCCTCAAGGGCAATCCTTTTTGAACATCTTTCAACAATGTCAGACATTGTCGAAGCTATCAACCCCAAACGAAGAGAGAATGAGGAGAGAGAGAGAGTCTCGAATTACATTGAAATCACTTGAAGCACGTAATAATTGCTGAAACCATGCTCATTCACCAGTTCGAGGTGTATCTTAACAGCGTTCGAAGATCTTGTAAAGCTGGTCCAAAGACACGAGATCCAAGAGAGTTCCATCCTTTGCAAAACTACGTGGCCATTTGCACATGCCATCTTTCCGTATAGCCTCATGCAACCATCTGAGACTCTGCAATTCCTGAGATGTGCGAGGTCGCTTTGCCGCAGCTGTAGCAACATCTTCGAACTCCCCGGCTGCAACAGCTGCATTGACGGCATCAGTCGCATTTAGGGATTCGTCAGGCAATAGCAAGTCAGCACAAAACTCTGCAGCAAGCTGGCATATACCGTCCAAGCAAGTCTTCTCATCGTTCCAATTGATCTCAGTGCAAAGCCGCAACATAAAGAGTGGCAGGCCGTCAAAAGAACACCCAACATCTGAGGTCAAACCAAGGGCATTGGGCACTGTCTTCAACCTACCATGGCGTTGCACGCTTTGCAGGGCCTTGCCATGATCCTTGTGATCCATGTGATCCTCTTGATCCTCTTTGATCTCGATCTCCAGCATGAAATATTCTTTCAATAGGTCAGCTTTCTGGAGCAGCAGCGACACAAAGCGATCTTCCAAAGCTCTGATGTCAGAGCCAGGCAGCTTGTCGTAGCCAGACTCGGGATCTCTGAGACCAAGCTGCACCAGGTCCTTGAGGGGCAGCGGCTCGACCAATGTGATACAGCCAATACCGCCAATCAGCCTGATTCCATCTGATTCGTGATTGTGAACATTTGATTTCATTCTAGGTTCAATTTGATTCACCATGATTAATATCAGACATCTCTTGACGGTTGTTGTTTGCTTATCATTTATACCGCATTCATCCATTGCAAAGTGAGCACTGAAAAAAAAAACGTCCAAGTCAAGATGGCAAACCGCCTACTTATAGCACTTCAAAGTTGAGCATGGCACGACCAAGAAACATATATATGCGGATCTACATGTGTGAATTATACCGGTAGAGCCGCGCAAGGCGGTGGCGGAAGTTTCAAAGATAGGACACTATAGGAGAGGTGAGTTGTTGTGATGCATGGATGGCAGAGCAAATCCATTGATGGACCCAAAGGTGGTTGGAGTTGTGTTTTTTGGAGTGGTTGCAAGGGTTGCAATGGTCACCTCACCCACAACTGCTGGATGTAGTGTGGCGTAGCGCAGTTGTAGTTATAGCTGTAGTTGTAGTGTAGTTGTAGTGTAGTTGTAGTTGTAGTGTAGTGGAATTAGGGTAGTGGAGTTGTAGTCGCAGTTACGGTTGTAGTTGTGGTGTGGTGTAACTCGGTGTAACTAGTGTGTCATGTAGTGTATTGTAGTCTAGTGTGGTGTAGTGTGAAGTAGTGTAATTGTAGTTGTAGCTGTAGTTGTAGTGCGGCGTAGTGCAGTCTAATCAGTGTAGTGTAGTGTAATGTAGCGCAGTTGAAGTTGTAGTTGTAGTTGTAGTTGTAGCTGTAGTAGTAGTAGTAGTAGTTGTTGTTGTTGTTGTTTCTAGATCTATCTAGCTCTATCGATCGATGATCAATCGATGATCGATCGATGATCGATCGATCGATCGAGCTCTCTCTCTCTCTCTCTCCCTCCCTCCGTCCGTCTGTCCGTCCGTCCGTCTGTTCGTCCGTCCGTCTGTCTTGAAAACGAAGCTATTCTGCGAGACTTCCTCCATTTTTGAACTTGACAACATCAAAAACGCGGCAATTCTGCCAGACTTCCTCAATTTTCGAAGTTGGCAACGTCAAAAACGAAGCCATTCGAAAAAGTGAAGCCAGGTCATACGAAGTGCTGCACCTGTCACGCAAAAACATCTTGGCAAACCTAACGATCTGATGCACCAAAATGCAACCCCTCTCAGGAAATCAGCGCCCAGACCTCCTAACATCTCTGATGAACATGTCTCTTGTACTGCGCCTGCCACGCGAAATGCATCTTTGCAGATCCTCTTCAAATGTGCCAGGCCTGCCAATGTCATTGAAACAGCTACAAAACCCACACGTCTTGCTCACTTTTAGGAAGGTGCAGATTCCCTTGCGCCTGCCAGGCATAACGACATCTGAACGTCCAAAAATGGTCCGAGCATGTGTTGCTTTTAACATGTTGACTTCGAAATGTGCTTCGCGCCACAACCGCGTGCACTTTTTCGCCAGCTCAACTTCCTTAAGTGCCCCAACATTGGTGTGCTTTGTGCGTCTTTGCTTTGACATGTGCTTCGCGCCACAACAGCGTGCACTTTTTCGGCATCTCAGTTCCTGAAAGTGCTCCGGAGCTGAGGTGTTTAGTACATTTTGACTTCGAAATGCGCTTCGCGCCACAACGGCGTGCAACTTTTCATCTCCCATCTGGCCAGATGACTCCGCACTCGCCGCTATAGCGAGCCTACTTTTCGACCCTCCGGAGCCACAAATCATTGGAAAAAACACAGTGATTCGTGACTTTTCTGCCTTTTCGCGCACCTGCATCTTCTTTCTTGTCTTCTCTTCTCTTCTCTTCTCTGACCTTCTCTGACCTTCTCTGACTCTTCGCACCTCTGCTTTTTCATCTATCCATATTGTCGGAAGTTTGACTTCTAAACTTCCTTCGATTATGTTATATATATATTTACAGAGAATCGATATCTCCATTAGTAGTAGTAGTAGTAGTAGTAGTAGTAGTCGTAGTCGTAGTCGTAGTCGTAGCCGTATAACCAATCGCCAACCAATCGCTCAGCCTATCACGATGCAGGTTTTGGCAATCGCGCAAAGCAGAGTAAACGCATCAATTCATAAATTTGTTATCTGCTTTTACGGACGGCTCCCATATACAAATTATAAATATGATTATACTAACCATTACACAAAGGAAAGACTGAGTCCAGCATCCTGGCTAGCAAGCAAGTGCAACAAGTAATTCAGTCTTGGCAAAGTGGCCTCAAGAGTCTTTGGTAAGCGCATTCTCGAGCCATAATTGCCAGATTTGCAAGGCACAGAGATGCTCCACATTGCAAAAGGATCAGCTCGCGGTTCACAGGCCCAACATAAACTGACTGGTTCAGGAGCTTCGACAAGTTCTCATCGGAAGCCAGGTTCACAGCACTCCGAAGCTCTTCGATGGAGGTCAGCTGCTGGGCTTCTTCGAAAACGGCCAAGCGTTCAGCAGAGGGTTCAGATCGTTCTGCGTTCATCGCTTTCGTAGCATTTCCATCTGCCTCGTCGCCATCCAGATCAATGTGTCCGTTGCTTTGCTTCGAAGCTGCCCCAAGTGGTGCGTCCTGGATGGGCGCTGGCTCCATGTCTTGGAAAGCTTGGGAGCCTTGGGAGGCTTGGACCTGTGACTCTCGGAAGATGGACTCGAGGGACATCTGTGTGTGATCTGTGCGGATCTGAGTGGGTTTGGCGGCTGCCTTGGCAGCCTTAGTAGTTGCCTTGTCTTCGGGCGCCGACTTGTCCTCTCTCTCAGCTCTCTCAGCTCTCTCCGCTCTCTCCGCTCTCTCAGCTCTCTGCGGTGTTGCTTGTGATGTCGGCCCTGGCAGCCCCGGAGGCCCAGCATCTTGCGATGTGTCAATGAAGGCAGAAGCTTTGCCTGTCGAAGGCAAAGATGGCAAAGACGGCAAAATGCAGGAGAAGCTTCTCGAACCACCCATGGTGCGCAGTTGCGATGACAGAGTCTCTTGGATTCTTTGAGAGATTATCTCTTCATGCAAAAACTGCACCTCCATCTTGGTCGGATGAACATTCACATCAATGGTTGCTGGGTCCACATCCAATGCCAAATAGACCCAGGGGTGCTGATGGCGCGGAAGGACCGGTTGATAAACAGCTTCTACAGCTCGCTTCAAAGGTGCACAGTCCACCAGCCGATTGTTAATGAACAAGATGAGTGTAGATGAACGAGCTGAATGGTTCGGATTTGAGGCAAAGCCTCTGCAAGAAAAAGGTGGCTCCTCTGATTTGACCTCGAAAGGAAAGAGTTCATTCGCAAGATTTTGGCCCCAAATGGTTCCAATGACATCTCGAGAATTTAGCTGACCTCCAGTTGTGGAGAGTTCAAATGCAGAGCTGTTGGAACCACTAAACTTTCTACAAGCAAAAGCAACATGCGGATAGTGAATCGCATAGCGCTGTACAACTTCAAGCACCTTGGAGTGTTCAATGCTTTCTTTGCCCAGGGCTTGTCTACGAGTTGGATTGTTGTAAAACATGTTTTCGACCATCAAAGTTGTGCCACGAGTTCCAGCACATGGTCTAACTCCGTCACCTTGCAGTTTGCCCTCACTGTAGTGAGCGATGCTAGCACAGCTGTCATTGCTCGTCATGGTTGTCACTGTGACATGCGCTACATGGCTGATTGATGCAAGGGCTTCACCACGAAAGCCAAAAGTTCCGATGCTCAGGAGATCTTCATATTTTTGTAGTTTTGATGTTGTGAAACGTTCACAAAGGATAGGCAAATCCTCTGCCCGGATCCCATGCCCATCATCTTCGATGCGCAGCATCTTCAGGCCTCCAGACTTCACCATTACATTGATCCGTTGGCTTTTTGCATCCAACGAATTTTCAATTAACTCTTTTAAAGCGTTTGCAGGTCTCACCACAACTTCACCTGCAGCAATCCGATTGATCACCGCTTCCTCAAGCTGAACAATGCGCCGTCCAGCCATGTCGGACATGTCTGACTGGTGCTCTACGAGTGGTGTCTCAAGAGATCAGTCTGCCTTCTTTGATGCCTGCGCTGTCCTTCTGACTTGCGAGCGAGTGGACACTACCTTATTTTTCCCAAATCAAACCCACAAATTTGGTCCGTATTGCAAACATGCTCAACACGCTTGACAACATTGAAGACTCAAGTCAAAGTCACAGTTTGTAAATCTGTATGCACTTCTTGGCATGCTTTGTTCACAAGAAGACTCTGTATCTGTGTTCCTCTTGACAACAAACCTATTGCTACTAAAAAGCTGCAGCCACTCAAAGTGCACATAGGCAATCAGTTGAGGAGATGCTGTCAGGTACCGGCACTGGGATTTCAAAGCAAGATTAAGCAAGATGAAAGAGTATGAAAGAGTTTTCTTGTTTCTCCCCTGTGGCATTGGGACTTCAGAACCCATCCTTGATTGCATGTTGACTGTGTCTTTCCGTAAAGTATGCAACGTACTCAGCACACAATCTCCACGAAAGGTTCGCCTACGTTGTCCACGCCCGACTCTGCCAAGTCTTTCAAAGACTCGTCCACTGTGGGGCTTGAGTACTGGCGCAAAATGATAGACATTGGATTTCTGCTGAACAGAGTGAGATGTTCGGAGCGGCTGCAATTTCCAGTTCCAACTCAGCAAGGCTTTGCACAAATCAGATCCATTTTGGAAGATCAAAAGTTCTTGCTTGTGCAAGGCCTGCATTCCAATTCGCACCTCAAAGCGTTTACCCATCTCCTGGAGCATAGCCGCGCTTAGCCGAGCAATAAAAATAAAAATAAAACTAGAGCAAGCCCGGGCCAACCAGACCGAATCAATCAACAAAGGAAGTTGGGGGAAAGCTGTGTCCAAGAAAGCATGTCGGGCAACTGTCAAACCGCAAAGATGTCTCGTGAAGAACTGCAGTCTGTTTGCAATATAGTCATTTATTTGAGGTCCTAGGTTCCACTGTTGTATTCTACTATTTTGAGATCCTTTGTTCATTAATTTACATCAGTACACCACAGCTGTGAACGTTAGATGTTGCAGTAGCTGATATGAGCTCATAGAAGAACCGGACAATTTTGACAAAGCTGAAGCTGTGGTGTGAAGCTATGCTGAAGCTATGCAAATGATATGCAAATGGTGTGAAACGTGACTTCACATGACTTCACTATGCTCCTCTTGGAGGCCTTCAGCCAAGTCCAGAGAGTGGAACAGCAGAGGCGATCCTCTAACCGGGTCCTAAAGAAAAAAATCGAAGCGGCTGCACGAACCAATCATTCAATGGGAATTTCAGGACCCTAAAATAGAGGTACTGTACCATATAAAGCCTGCCTCATTTTGGGGGCATATCTCCTGACATAGCCCTTACACAGGCTTTATTTATGTTGGTAGTTTGAATTTTAGGTACCTGAAATAGCAATTGATTCAATCTGGTTCAATCCCATGGCACGACGCAAACTGTTTTTTCCCTCGCTGGACAACCCATTGCGTGGCCATGTGCTTCCCGTCACTGAAAAACTGATGAGACCTGGTGGAAATGCTCTCTTTCAAGTATCGAACCTGAATGCATCTTAGTGTATAAATTATACACAGGCTCCGTGTGGGAAGCTAGAGACACAAGTACATAGGGGCAAAACACAACACGTACAAGGGCCAGACCCAGATTTTCTTGTAGTTTGCTGCTGAACTCTTTGGCCTTGCCAAATTGTCGTCTGAAGAGATCCAAATTTGTTTTCAAAACATTTCGTTTCATGTGCAAATGGTTTCTGTTCGATGACTCAGTACAGGGTTCAAAGAATTCAGTCCGTCATGCCTGGTCAGCAGCAAGGCCTGACACTGTCATGTAGAAATTGTTTGGCAGGTCCCAATGAAAAAATACAGCTACATCATGCTAGATCGGTACATCAACGGAACAGAGAGTGGGCATTGAAAATCTGAGAATCGTTTCAATCTCAGCACCTGGAGCACCAGCCACTTCAAGAGAGGGGGCCTCAGACTCAAAAGTCAAGACCTTCCAAGACCTTCCAAGACCTTCCAAGACCTTCCAAGACCTTCCAAGACCTTCCAAGACCTTCCAAGACCTTCCAAGACCTTCCAAGACCTTCCAAGACCTTCCAAGACCTTCCAAGACCTTCCAAGACTTCCAAGACTTTCGCAGACTCCAAAGAGCAACATATTGTTCATACATAAACACACATAAATATATATATATGTGATATATGCAAATAATGATATATTACCGATATAGATATTTATATATATATATGCATGCATGCATGCATACATACATACTTTACTTTAACTTAACTTAACTTTACTTTACTTTTAACTTGACTTTACTTTACTTTACTTACTGTACGTTCTTACATACATACATACATACATACATGTTAAATATCAACTATGCACTCCCTTGACCAACATAGTTCTCCAACATGCCTTGGTATTGGTGCAACATCTCGGCCCAATATAAGGTCTTGAGTCAGCCCGGTAGCCAACTGTGAATACAACAGTGTGGCAGGACAACAACACAGCGTGTGCAACAAAAGGAACACTTCAACAGTGCACAGCGTCAGCGGTACAACAGACTGCATCAACAGCTGCCTTGAATTTTTAATGGTAGCGGAGCTCTGCCTAACCAGGGGCATCTCCAAGCAACAGCAGTGAACAACAGGCAGAGGACTTGATCCCAGAACACTGGGGGATCCTCAACAAGACACAACAAGCACCTACACACAACAATGGCAGCGTCAGCAGATGATGAAGTAACAGCCTTGGCAGCAACACACAAACTCAAACTCAAACCCCAACATATGATGGCAACTATGCCACATATGAAGAATGGAAAGACAAGTTCACAGCACACATGGGCCTACAGGACCCATTCTTCTCAAGGATGTTTAGGCTGGCAGAAGCAGCAGCACAACAAGTGACAGAGGCACAGCTACGACAAGCAGCTACAACACTGGAGGAAGCAGAAGCATGGGTCCAACTCGATCAAAGCTTCAAGTATGCGTTGATCAACGTGACAACAGGAGCAGCAGCCACCCTTTGCAGGCAACATCAACATGAGATTGGACTCGAGGTACTCCGACAACTCAACATGAGGTTTGCACTGCCGGTAGGAACAAGAAGCATAGGATACCTCACAAAGCTCTTGAAGCCAGCATTTGACAACAACAACTTTGAGGAGTCATTCTCCAAGTGGGAGTTTGAACTCAACAGGCATGAAAGAGACAACAACACCCAACTACCAGACCAAGTCAAGATTGCAGTCTTCATGAATGAAACACCTTCACCTTCACTTTATGGCTGGAGCGACGCCAACCTACATTGACATCAGGGCGGCTATCATGGGGTACTGCGGGACGACTGCGGCGTTCAGCAGGCTCCAGCAGAGCGCGTCATCCAGTGTTGCAATAAACTACAATGGAGGAGCTGCGCCGAGGGACATAGGAGCCACCAACAAACGAAAAGGAAAGAGCAAGCACAAAGGCAAAGGAAAGACAGGAAAAGGTAAAGGAAAGAAAAACAACAAAGGAAAAGGCTACGGACAACAAGGCCACGGCTACTCAGGACAAGGCAAAGGAAAAGGGCCCGTTGGACAAACAGTTCAATACAAAGGATGCAACAACTATGCACCAGGTGAAGGAAAAGCACCAGGAAAGGCAACCGGCCAAGGAAAAGGATACACAACAGGCTGCTACAGATGTGGTTAACCAGGCCACATCGCAAAAGACTGTAGAGTTGCAGTCTACAACATTCAGGAGGACGTCCAGGAAGGATACAACGATGCAACTGAGCAGTGGTATGGACCACAAGCCATATATTACAACCATTGGTGGACAAACGGCCAACCACAAGTCAACGCAGCGCATCAACCACAGCAACTTGCACACTGCCAGCACCTTCACAATTAGATGCAGCACCAGCATTGCAGATTGCAGCGGTCAAAGCACCGCAACAAAATAAGAGCACCAGACATGAGCATGTTCACAAACCTCAAAAAGGATGAACTGATGATCGACAGTGGAACGGCAACACACCTTTGCCCAATTTGGTTTGCCTCAACAACTCAGACCTATGACATACCCGAACACGAAAGGCCAAACCTCAGAACAGCAACAGAAGATCCCATTGAAATCTACGGGTGCAAGTGGGCCTACATGACCAAGGAGAGCAACCAACAGATCGTGATTCCGTTCTGCGTGTGCTCGGTTTCACAACCAATACTGTCGGTAACAAGGCTGACAGAACAAGGCTTCACAATCCACCTCAGTGAGCAACCAACAATCACACACCCAAACGGGTTTGAAGCAAGGCTACGAGCAAAGGGAGGAACATACTTCCTACCTGTGAGCAACACAGGAACACAATCCAACTACAAGCTTGACGTACACGACGCACAACAAGGCATCAAAGCAACAATATCACCCATCACATTGACACGAGAAGGAGCACAATGAGAGACACACCAACACCAGCACGACATTTGCACATACAACCGTCAAGCATACCTGGTGAGACTCCACAAAGCCAAGCGCAGAGCAACGTACGTGACAGACCAACACTGTCCAGTTCCGATGGACAAGCTTGAGGATTGCAGAAGAACAATAGACCACAAACACAACGGCACAACAGAAGACTTCGAGGAGAAACTTCACAGCCCTGCAGCACAGCCAACAGAAGAGGATGCTGAACACAGAATGAAAAGGTGAAACATGGTTCAAAGTTAAGAAGAATGCGAGAGCACCAAAGCCACCGATTGCAACACCGACAACACCAAACAAGGCATTACCAGCACCCAATCAGCAACAGCAGGAACAAGCGCAACAGAAGAGGAGATACACACAAAAGAAGCCAGAGAGGTCAGAGGAGATGGCAACAAGCAATGAGCAACAGCCAAGCAGTGAACAGCAACCACACCCAACAACAAGCATTCCACGGCCAAAGGAGCTTCCAACAACGGAAGACTATTGGATCCGAGAAGGACATCTGTGGAAAAGAGCCCACATAAA